TAATTCTGTACCATCAAAATGGGTAACTATTTACTGTAGTCTAATTCTGTACCATCAAAATGGGTAACTATTACTGTGGTCTAATTCTGTACCATCAAAATGGGTAACTATTTACTGTGGTCTTATTCTGTACCATCAAAATGGCTAACTATTTACTGTAGGTTAATTCTGTACCATCAAAATGGGAAACCATTTACTGTAGTCTAATTCTGTACCATCAAAATGGGTAGCCATTACTGTAGGTTAATTCTGTACCATCAAAATGGGTAACTATTTACTGTAGGTTAATTCTGTACCATCAAAATGGGTAGCTTTTACTGTAGTCTGATTAATTATGTACCATCAACATGGGTAACTATTTACTGTAGTCTAATACTGTACCATCAAAATGAGTAACTATTTACTGTAGTCTAATTCTGTACCATCAAAATGGGTAACTATTTACTGTAGTCTAATTCTGTACCATCAAAATGGGTAACTATTACTGTGTTCTAATTCTGTACCATCAAAATGGGTAACTATTACTGTGTTCTAATTCTGTACCATCAAAATGGGTAACTATTACTGTAGTCTAATTCTTTACCATCAAAATGGGTAACTATTACTGTAGTGTAATTCTGTACCATCAAAATGGGTAACTATTACTGTAGTCCAATTCTGTACATAGACAGACCCTGATGTAGGTCCTATTTTAGAAACATATTAAATTTCAATTGCTTGTACAGTATTCACTATATATATAGCTTGCTCCTTGAACAGGCATTCAGTTGTAGCAGAACTGGAGTGTGTTGATCGTTGACATCAAGGTACATTGTATACGTACATTTAGCTCAATTGGTAGATCGTCCTTCTAAGAGTTTGGAGGGTCCTGGGTTAAAATCCTGATCTGGTCATGCATTTCTCTTTCTCCTGTTACACATTTATCTCCCTTTCAGTGGCTATATACTGTAAACGTGGTTATTTACGCTGGGTGAAAATTACGCGTTTGAAGGTCAAAACTTTACGCGCGGGGGTAATTTACGCGGTTGTGGTATACCGATGTTTACTCTGCATAGTTATCTCCCTTACTTTACGAAATGTGTACAGGTAAAAAATACTAGTAGCTACTGAGTGCATGTTACGTATGCGTACCAACTGGTCATTGGACAGATGAAAATAAAGGTGAACTGTATTCATGTGTATGTGTGTGTCTTATACAAGCTGATCTCGTAATCAACAGGGATCAAACAGGTGAGTGCTATTTAGTCAAAACAAACACATTTTCCAAATAACAATGATAAAACCATACACTATTCGTAAGTTATGGTAACCCATTGAGCGTAGTTAATGTCGCTACCATGATGACACGTACGGGCATTTACCTGTGTAGGGATCGTTGCACACGCTTACTAGGCTGTTTGTGTCCCTTAGACATGTGGGTTAGTGATGTGTACCAGACCTCGATGCACCCGGGTTTATTCATGACTTTCTCTGTGCCTTAATATAGATTTTCAAATTTGTTGTTCATTAAAAACTTCAATTTATCAAGTAGTTTATTTCAGTTATTGTTTTTATTTTATACCATTACAAGACAATGTACGTTAATTAGTAATTCGTAAACAAAGCAATATTACAGGAGGACATCGTACACATGTACCAATATCTATCGGAGTTGTCGTTCCTTACATTATCGACGAAACCATACGCGCGGGGGAAATTTACGCGGACAAACCAACTCCGCGTAATCAGCGTAAATTTCCCCCGCGCGTAATATTCCACGTTTACAGTATATATCCTTAAAATTGTTTTATGACTGAACAAATTTTGGGATTTTGGCTTCTGGAAACAAAAAACTACTCTTATGCCTGATATGAAGTCTTTTTACATCACATGAACACTCAAATAACTTAACAAAAGGATAGTGAGATGATCCTCCTCCTGGAAACTGAAACAGAGGCTAGAATTTATTTTTAAACTCATTAATATCCAAATGACCATGTAAAGGTGCAGCATTTTGATCCTGTAAACAAAAATCTAATCTGTTCCGGAAAAAAAAATTCCGTCTGATTCTCATGAATATTCATATATCCTTGTAGAGGCGGAGCTTGATGATACTTCTCCATGCTGGAACACCCTACTTACTTCAGCGCCTCTTGGACTGGACAGAGCGACGACTCCGATCTCCCAGGTCATTCGAAATACCGGAGGAGACTCGTATATTTCTGCTGAAATGTATTCCTGTCGTACGTCAGAGTGTGACGTTTCTGCACCGACTACACCTGGCTTGTTTTTACCTACGTGGCCTGTTTTACCACATAGCTAAACGAACAGCAGGTGTACAGTATGTAAGTATAGGTTATTGTAAATTACTTATATATAGTTCACCTGGCTCAAAGATCAGCTTTTATGTCATAACCCCGATCTGTGACCTGTCTGTCATCCATCCATCCATCTGTCTGTCCATTGTCAATCATCTTTTTAAAAAAACTTTTTAAGAACCGTATTGAGTACTGAGGTCATATTTGATAAGAAACACTCATGGATAACATCTGACAAAAGTTGTGGAGACAGAATGGTTTTGACATACGTTCAAGGTCACGGGGATCAAATATGTAAACTTCTTTCTCTTAAGGAGCAGAAGTCCTGGAGAAATAATATTTGACCAGTAACTTCATGCCCTGCAAAAAAACGACCTTGAGCCATATCATATATATTGTGTGGGTCAAAATTGTTAGAACACCCAAACAACTTATTTTTAAGAACCAAAAAGCCTCGAGTTATTATAATTTGGCAGCAAAGTAATGGTTTAGATAATTACAAATCTTTAAAAAGAAATGACCTCGACTTATATTCAAGGTCATAAAATTAAGGGTTATATTTATTTGAATGTTCAAAAAACTTCTTCTGGAGAACCAAAAGACCTAGAGTAGTGATATTTAGCCAGTAACTAGCTGGAAGAAAATGCTACAAAGTTTGAAAAAACCCTAATGACTTTGATTATCATTCAAGGCCACAAAGCCCACAAAGACCTATAAGGGGTTTTGCTGGTTTGCTGTCAATGGTACTTAAATAAAACTGATATGAGATATATTTGCTAACAAGTGAGTGATGTAGGCCCATGGACCTCTTGTAAATGATTTGGTATAGATATATCAAATCGTTCTATACTTGTGGTCGTTGTTTTAACAGTTGAAGTACAATATGAGTAGACAGGGACCTGACCAGGCGCTCCAGAACAGCTTCAGAATGCTCGGATGGTTGTCCCTTGCTCAGTTGTGCGGAAGTCTCGGTGTTAAGTTATACCAGTACTGGTTGGACCAAAGAAAAACTAAAAAGGACTTTCCACACCACCTAACCCTTCAAGCAGAGGAAAGGTACAAAAAATGGGCAATGTCCGGGGTAAAATATACTTAAAAAGTTCTTTTTTGATATGCAGCGTCAGACTTAAAGTAAATGTATGTTTTAATGACATTTTCAATGTCCGAAATGCCCAAGTCATGATGCAAATTGATATCCCAACACACACCAATATATCGGTCATTCTGCTTAGTAACAGCCAATCCAAGCCATCGTATAGACTGTTTACCCAGGATACAATTTCAGATCTTCCGTAAATTCTGCTTTCTGAAGCCGATGTCTTTGCACTGTGCTGTTTGTCTGAATACTGTGAAATCAGATATTTTCTTGGTGCACACATTTCGTGGTTTCCCAACAAAACACAACTTTGTAAGTTCATGAATTCGTGAATTACGAGTACCGGCCCTCTCAAGGGACAATTGCTTTATATCATTCTTGTAACCTTCCTGGACCTATGAATTCATGGATGAAGATTACCCACGGAATCAACAAAATTACAAACCCCACAAAAATGTGTGATTTCACAGTAATTACTTCTGAAATTCTGAATGATTAAACTTTTTATGAAACTCTATAGGTGTAAAAAATCTTGACAGGTGATTTGGTCAAACAGACTGTTATAAACAGGGTTTTAATTTTGGTAAAATGTGGGGCCAAATATCCCCAGTGGCCTAACCTTTGAATGAATTATGCTGGTTGAAAAAATTATGTGTATGAAAGTCTTGATGATCCGATTCTGCGTTCTTTTTGGTTTACTACATATACACATTATATTTTATCTGTTAAAATCTCTTATCATATCTTTGGAGAAATAATTCTACAGATATTAACGTCAGCTTTATGTTTCTATGTAAATCTCCCTTTCCCAATCTCACTTGTTGCAGCACATTAGTTTTGCCCCAATTCCAAAGCCATGATATATGCGTTCCGTTCCAAAAGTACTGTAAAATCTCATGTTATATGTGCAGGTTTTTTTGTATGAATGTTTGTGGTAGGTACAGTTGGTGTTCAGTCTCATGTAACCCGGTACTTCAAAGAAAACAAACAACGTTATGCATATTTTTCGATAAGATATTTTCTTTGAAATAAGTGTCAACCTACAAAAAGACAGAAGTTATAAGAGTTAATTATAAACAAATAACAAATTAATTTTTATAAAAGATGTGAGAAGGTAGATATTTGTGTCAAAGTTTTGTGTCAAAGATCACTTTTTCTGGGCTTTCTTGACATCACAATATTGTTTGAGGGAAAAGATTGGTGCACAAAATAGATAAGTAGAAGATTTTTCATCATTTTCAGCCCAAAACAGTACCTGCGCAAATAACATAGATGCTGAAATTAAAAAGAAAAAGTAATGTTGAAGTCAAATCACTGATTATATTTGTGTATCATTTTTCTTCAACAGTATAGAAGATGCTCTGATGGATCCCAAGAGGAAGTGCTCTCTATGTTTGGAGGAGAGAAAGTCCACCACAGCGACACCTTGTGGCCATCTGTTCTGTTGGCACTGTATCCACGAGTGGTGCCAAAATAAAGTGAGTCATATTAAGTTTTTCAAAAATATTTTGATGACTTAATGGTCCTAAAAAGTTGTCAAGTCCTTGTGTTCAACCATGCATAGAGTGTTGTTACCCTTATACTGATAAAGATTGAAACTAGGGTTTGGTATTGTAAGCAATTTTCATATTGAAATATATTGCAATATTTGCTAAAGTATTGTAATATGTATCACAATATATTGTACTCCTACAGCTTTAGTACATTGATCATGATATTAAATGATACACTGGTAGAAAATATATAAAGTGAGCATCAGGCCAACATTGAAAATTGGAAATTTATTTTATATTAATTTTGGAGGATATTAGATATATCACACGAAGCATGCTGCATTTTGATAACATTAACTCAATCTTAATGTTTTCTCTGTACAATTATATCGTAACTTTGTCTAAACCCCCAACCAATTAATTGAAAACGTATTGCCATTTCAAAATCATATTGTGATTTATTATAAACTTTATTTATTTTTCAACGATTATGAAACAAGTTTTTAAAACTTATATTAATCACTCTTGTTGGCCCGGATGTTAGCGTGCGGGAGGTCTTAATGTTGGAGGGAATCAGAGTACCCAGAGAAACCCCACGTGGTCGGGCAGGGGACCCCATACTTTCCTACGTCCGATCGGGGTATCGAACCCCAATTTATATATTGCTAGACAAATATTGCAATATATTGGTACTTCCATATTATTGCCCACCTCTTATTGAAATACAGTGATTTAAAAATAATAGAGGAGGTACATTTCACAGGAAGCATCGTAATTTGACAATTATTAATCAATCAAGTTCAGTATATGTTTGACCCCAACATAATTGTTTTGTATATTTCAGCCCCAGTGTCCATTATGTCGAGAAAAAGTGCAGCCTCAAGCGTTGCTGTTTCTTCAGAATTTTGACCCTCCTTGAGGTGACAACAATGAAGCGTACCTGTTTTGCCAGTATATATGAACTCTATCGATATTATATGGTAGCTAAGTTTGTTTCTCCATCTGTGACAAATTGTCTTGTACATGTATTGAAAATGTTACCAAACAAGGCTTGATTCAGAGGACAAGTGTATTCAGAGTGGTTAAAAGAGAAACACCGTGCTAATTAATTGGAGTGCTAATATTCGAAGTCCACAACGTTAAAAAAACAATGCCAAACAAATAAAATTTGATGGAGATTTTATATAAGGTGTTTGATGATTATATTCCTGCATTGTTAACTAATGTAAATTTTCGTGGGACATTAAATTTCGTTTATTTCGTGGATAAAAAAAATCCACGAAATTAAAACCCATGAATAACATAAATTTGGTATGATATAGATAGTGGATAATCAGAAATCAGTGAAATATAATGTCCTTGAAACTGGCTAGTATTTGAAAACCACGAAATTTTAACCCCACAAAAATAAAAGATTCTACAGTAAATGCTTTGTTGTTTTTTGCTCACATGACAGCCATTTTGAAAATCTATCAAGTCATTTATCATCAGCAGCTAATGCTAGTGAAAAGGACTTTTAAACAAATTTGTTTTCAAATGAAAACATACATTTTCCTTCAGAATGTGTGAGGCTCTAATTGAACAATAGAGGCCGCCTGAATTTCTCATTATTAAATCCAACCTAACATTGGGATTCTGACTGCTGCAAATCACAATTGTAAAAGAAGTGCATTGATTAGGTTGCCTTACAAGCGTCAGCTGTAGGGAATTTCCCTTTAGCTTAGCGGTAGAGCATCGGGCTTGGAGAGCCAAGGGTCGCGGGTTCGAGCCCCAGCGACGGCACTATCTTTATCACTTTTCCTCGTCCTACTACACAATATTGACCTACCAAATTTGGAGTCAAGCATTTGTTTATGAAGACAGATAGCGAAGGCTCACATGATCTTGACATATGTGAGTTAAAATTCATAAATACATGGAAAAATAACCATAAAAAACTACTTTTCTTCAAAATAAATAGTTTTATTATCAAAATATTTTCTATTACATCACACATTGACAACATTAACTCTTTAACAGTTTAAAACTGAAACAGAAAAATATAACATCAAAAATAAGTTCCAACAAAAAACATTGAAGTTTGTTACCCCTGTAAACTTCCTCAGTTTTGATGTAAAGGTACTTAACATTTTACGGTTTTTAGAAAATCAAAACCAAACAGTAATGCCATGTTAACCAATGAACTTGTCATAATTTCTTGGAAGATTTAAATTCATATTTTTTGTGTGTAAATAATAAATGAAAATAAATCTCCTCCTAATAATACGATTTATTGGTGATGTCTATCTTGACGATTATGCCCATATTTAGTTTGGTGGACTTCATTGCCTGAAGATGTGTACATGTATAGCGATTTCTTTATTTTATAAGTTTTATGGTAGTTTAGATAAAAGAGGATAAAAAATGTAAACGTGTTTATGATGTGAGTGCGAAGACTACAAGGGCTACGAAGGGGATATGGGCATTGAAGTCCTCTAGTGTTGTGTTTTGTACTGCTACCGATAGGAGGTTCCATTGTGTGATAGTGTGTTGTTAAAATGAGTATTAGTATGTGTCTTTGGTAGCAGCAATGTGTCTGTATAGGTGTAGGGGAGTGTGCATGTCGTCAAATGTTTCTCACTCAAACATAGTTGTAAATGATAACAAACTTCCTTTGATGTACATAGGAAAATTTAAGTACATCATCAAAATATAACCTGGACTAAAATCACACAAAAAGAGATCCCAGAGGGATCTACGCACCCACCATTTCTAAGATCTTTATTGGATCTGCATATGTTTGATTTTTTTCCAGTTGACTTGTTAGGTTTTTTTCAACAGTAAATGTGCCTTGTACCTGAAATTGGGTTTGACAGTGTCCTTTCAAAGTTAGTGTGCTTTACCAATTTACTAAAACAGCAATGTGCCAAAAATAAGCGAAAGATATTTCTCTTTTCTGGCAACAATTTCTTCTGATCAAGCAACTTGAAACTCAAAACAAAATATGCAAAACTAGCAAACTGGAAGAACTTACTCATGCAAAGAAAATTTGAGAAAGATCTATCAAGTTCTAACTTCTTCTTGAGAAAAAAACCTGTCAAAAAACTTGAACTGTCAAAATTAAAGATGGCTGCAAGGGGGCCATCTTGTTTGTCCAATCAGTCTCAAAAGGAACACAGAATGTAATTCTCAAAAAAGAACATTTTAGATAGATCCATCCGGTACTTTGTGAGAAATGGAGATAACAGGAATTGTTAAAGGACAGATGACGGATGAACTGACAGACAACGGACGAAGGACCATTTAAACAGACGACCATCGGATGATGGATGCCGGCTAAAAAGACACAAAAGCACACATAAAAGAGAAACAATAGTTCACAACACATTCAATGGGTTCACAGACTGTTACCATTTTAGTACATGTGAATGACGTGATCTAAATTTTTATTTTTTTAATTCTTGCGAAGGAACCCGTTCAGAAAAGGATTATACAAGGTTCATAACAAACTATTGTATAGTACAAAAGTATCAATTTTTTTTTTATATCTTTATGATAACTTCAACATTTTCTATTGTTAAATGATATTAAATTCATACCTTAAAGGTCAGCATCTAAATAACACGACAAAAATATTAATAAAATTGCAACAAAATAACGGTATATCGTCACAAAGAAAAAGCGTATCAAACAAATATATGTATATATCTCGTTAATTTCAAACTTACTGCTATATGAACAATGAATTTGATTGTTTGTGGGGCGACTTATTTGTTGGGTGATATCATTATTTCTGAAAAATATGAACTATTGAGCCAAAATCTTTTGGAGTTAAATTAAGTCGGGAACTATCCTTTATATCAATAAATTTTATACTTGCTTGCCCATTCTTTCACTAATCTTGTTGACCCGGATATTAGTGTGCAAGGGGAATCAATGTGGGAGGAAATCGGTGTACCCGTAGAACATCCCTGTTGTCAGGCAGGTAGCCCCATACCTTTTGAAGTTTTCACGTCCAATTTGGGGAATCAAACCCTTGCCATCTTGTTGAAAGGTAAGCATGTTATCCACTGCACCACCTGACCAACCCAAACCATAATCCCCTAGCTCCAGACAAACTTTGGTATCAAAAATGGACAAAGGGCAGTAACTCTGTATATTGCAGAGCACAAGAACTGATTTCAGTTTAGCATTAACTCATGTCATAATGAACTAATCCAATCTTTGAATTGGAAGAGTTCAAATGTGTCTTCTGGGGTGAATGAGTTTAACTCACTGCCATCTTGAGAGTTAATCACAAAATTTTCCAATTGTATGATACATGCCCAAAGTGACAAACGGATGGACTGGCAGAGGAAGTGTAAAGCTGTAACTCCCTACAGTGGTACAGTATTTTTCATGCACGCTTGATACAATTGCTGATTATGTCAAATACAGTAATACTTATTTATACTAAAATGTTAGACATTCTTCAATTAAAAATCAATGTATATTTATTTTCAAAATGCTTTCCAGGTTTAACTTTAGCGAAAAAAAATGGAAAAAAATATTGTTATAACAATGATAACACTAATGTTTTTAACAATAATTTTTTTATTCCAGATTATTTTCACAAAACCTTTGAAGCTGTTTAAAACGATTTGAAAAAAAAATCACAGATAAAATATAATTGCCGTCATGTTAACTGGTACGTACGTATATTACTATGGTAATTTAAGGACGTGCCAGGTTTTTGTGGTAGAGGAAAGCCAGAGTACACGGAGAAAAAAACACCAACATACAGCCAGTACTAGTGGTAGCAAAATGTCAGACGCCTTAACCACTTGACCACTGTGGCCCCTTAATGAATCAATTCCACAATACTCATACGTAAATCAAGTGTACTTGATTCTTAAAATTTGAATATTTCCGAATGAACGACAGCTAATTTACTGTGGATCCAAGCACTTGCAGCTTGTAGCAACATTTGAGATATATAACTACATGTGTTTGTTTACAAACTTTAGGTTGCATTCCTGTGGTGTGCATGGTTAGTAAAAATAATACTATAACATTTTTGCTATAAGCTATTCCGTCTTTGCGTATTGCAGGGTTATGTTCTCTTGTGAACAGGTATTGATTGTGACGTCATTGGTTTGTGTGAAAAAATTACGTCGTTTTCTCAAAAACTGATGACGTTTCTCTCACAAACAAATGACGTAACAATCAATACCTGCTCTCAAGAGCAGATAACTCTGCAATACGCAAAGACGGAATAAGCTCTCTACCCAAAGCCAGTGTGTTGCTGTGTTTTACCATGTAGGCAAATTATTGCTCTAAAAGAAATATTATGCTTTTGATTAAAAAATTGCACAAACTCCACAACTCAAACGTTTTGCATAAAAATACAGAAAAGCTTTTTCATAATACTTTGAATGCCGTATAACTGTTAACATGCACAGCAGAACTTCTAAAAAAAAACTTTACTTCAACAAATTATGCTTTAAGTCTATTGTGAATACTCTATATAGATTTCATCAAACACATGTCATTTTTTTTTACAAAATTGTGCAGTTGATAAAATTGTGGTTTTTGTGATTGCTGCGCATGTGATGTAACATAACTTCAGTTTTGTTTAGTTGTGTTGAATTTGTTAAAAAAAAATACAAAAAATATTACAAAAATCATGAAAATTACCCTGTATACATCCTGCATATTTGCTTGACTTAAGTGCAATCAAGTGAGAAAAAAGTCACTGCAAAAAACACACTAGGTATACATGTATATATCATGGTGTTTCGTGTGTATGGATAATTTTGCGGTAACTTCATTAGTAAATGTGAAATAAGTCATAAATTTCAACAACTCCAAAAATACCCTTTTTACAGCGACATGTAATACAAAAATATTTATATATTCATTCATTAAATATGACTTAAACGTTTTAGTCTGGTATATGGCAGAATGACTTTAAACATGCTTGGTAAAAATTATTAAATCAATCACAATTTTAAATTGATTAAAATACGTTTTCCCAAATTTTCAATCTACTGACATACAAATTCAACTCAATTTATAAATTGATAAATCGATTATTATTTTCATGACAAGTTTGAATTTAAACTCCTTACCTGATAAATTAATAATTCCTTGACACGTACGTAAATCATTTATTAATCAATAATTATTTTGACTGCTTGGAACTACTTTAAATATTGATTAATAAATCAATAACTTTTAAAACAAAAAAATTAAGCTTTTTCATAGATAATCAGCTTTATGAATACATTAATAATATAACTTATGAACTTTCTGAAAAACGTTCTTTGTTAAAACATGTGTCCACACAAATATTTCTATTATATGATGATACCACAGTATTGCTTCATTGCTGATGTCGCTTATCCCCGTTGATGAAAAATCAGCTCAAACGATTCAGTGATCACGTTGATCTGTTGTCACAACCAATTAAGGTTAGAAATTTTTCAGTGAACTGAAAACAAAAACAAAATTATTTTTCAGAAAAATAACAAGAAGTGCATTGGGCCTTAATGGCCCTCTCAGTTGTAATACAATTAGTTTTTGAGATTCGAGGCGGTATATTGTGATCACGCAGTCGCAAACAAAAATTGTAGTGTAACTGCACTAGGTCTATATATAGTCGGCGACCAGATGGTTCAATTGTTAGAGCCTCCCTTTTGAGTTCGGAGGGTCCCTGATACAAACCCCGTCCTGGCTGTGCATTTTCCCACTCCTCCTACATTAGGTGCCTGTGACCAACTCTTGTTTCAAGTACTAGGCGGATGCTTGACAAGGGGATACCCAAACCTGGGTTGTGAATAGTGTTGTCTTCAGGGGCGAAGACTTGGGGAAAAAGAAGGGAGTAATGTAGCAGAACTTGGCTGGGTTGATCGTCTGTGGACGGGTGGCTCAATTGATAGTGTCTGTATGGGGTTTCGGAGGGTCTCGGGTTCGCACCCATGTCTATATAGCCATGCATTTTCCCACTCCTGTTACAAAAGGACTATGTATGGTTTGGGCCTGTTTTGGCCCCCAAATGCATCAAAATTCAAAACCTTTAAATGAACTTTAAAATGACTGTTTCTTTAATTTAGAATACTTCCCAAATCCTATGATGAAAATATATAATTTATATTTCTAATTATTGTTGCCATGGTAACAAGTTCAAATTTTCAGTAAATATTGTGATATTTTGCATAGTTTTTTTCCTAGAAACTATAGAGCACATGCTTGGACAAACTTAATATCAAAGGATAATGTGTAGGCACCTGTAATACATCTTTAAGAGAAATATAAAGTTTGTTCAGGAGTGCGCTCTATGGTAGCTAAGAGAAAAACTAGGTGAAAACCTGTCAAAATTGACTGAATAATCAAATTTCAATAATTCATGCAAATATGACCTGGTTACCATGGCAGCCAAAATTGAAAACACAAATAAATGTTTACATAATAGTACTGGGGAATTATTCAAAATTAAAGAAACATTTGTTTAAAAGTTCTATTGCAGATTTTTAATTTTGATGGATTTTGGGGCCAAAAAAGGCCCAAACCATACATAGTCCTTTACTTGACGACATAGGGTTGAGCGAATAAAACAGATATTTGCGACAGTATAATCACAATATCATGCAGTAAATTTCAAAATACAGTAGGGTTATCCCCTTTCTAACTCGTGGATGAGTGATGCCAGTAACATTCAAAGTGAGGCAGAATTACATTCACCTTTCTAGGTCACGCTATTATTCGTGATGTCAATAATAAAAAAATGTTAATTATTTCAGACAAACCATGAATGACAGATGACAGAAAAAAGGGGACCTTAATAAAATATTTTTTTAAACAAAATGGAGTAATATATGACTACATATGACTACAAGAAAGAATGGGTTTTCAACTTCTACAGTAAAGGTTAACCGACTTGATTCAGTGAATAATTTGTCTGGGTCAAAATAGGACAAATCTACCTGTTTAAGTTATCTAGGGTATGCTACACGATATAAGGGTTCAGTCAATCCCAATATATTAAACAAACACTTTAATTATGGTACCTTTCTTGAAGGTAGACATGGTCCTAACAGCTCTAGTAACAAGGGTTCCTCTTGGACAGCTTGTTCAAAGTCCTTCAAGGAAAGCTTGGAATCATGATCATCGTCCTGTAACAAAGACAGAAGTTCAACATTAAATAAATTCTAAAATCTTCCCTCCAAATCCTCCTAACTACTTCCATTAACAGTACCAGAGTACATATGTACTGCACATAGAGAAGCATTACAAGCCAAAAATAGATTTGTGAAATGAATGTTATTAAAAAAGGAAACACCTGTCAATCTTGGGCTACTAAGTAAATGTAAGTGCAAGATTTATATTCTCTAGTAAAATATTTTAAATCAAAAAGGCAATAGCTATCGAAAACTCAAATTGCAAAGGGCTATAGCTGTCATAAAACAATGATCACAAAGGGCCACAGACACCATACAATTCTGAATCACAAGGTGTAAGGGGCCACAGTTGTATAAAATTTAAATCTTAAAAGGCCAAAATTTCATAAAAATCAAAATCATGATGGGCTATATGTCTTTAACAAGAGGCCCAATGGACCTGTAAAGCTCAACTATCCTTCATTACCAAGTCATCTTGGTTATTCCGAAAAGGTTGAATTGGTTGAATTTAATAAATTTGACCTTTGTGACCTTGAAAGTGGGTCTTGACCTGCTACTGGCCAAATATTATCACCTAACATATCTTGGTTATTCAGAAGAAGTTGTTCAAAGTTTTTCACACATTTGACCACTATGCCATTGACAAATTGCAAATCCAAATGAGAATCATCTAGGTATGTGTATATGTATGATCATAGGCCTGGGTTATGACCATGTGACTAAGTCGTAGGTGTGGGGCCAGACCCCTGCACCAGTTCAGATAGCATAAATGTATTTGTCTTCTCATGACTAGCAATTGCTTCTATTCTTTAAAATTGAGGATCTCAACATTTCCCTTGTTATGATTCAGGTACTAGTACCCATGGGACTGAATCTGGGTATTATTTTTCATACCATTAAACTGCCATCATACTGATCACATGATAATCATTCCAAGCAAGTTTGACATATTTTTTCCTGTGACCTTGTAAGTAGGTCAATGTTATTTTCCTTCCCAAATTGGTTAGCCCTTTTTCCAAAAAGCTACCAGCCAAATCTAATGAATACATTTCTTTTAGTTCTTAAGAACAAATCCTTTAAAATGTTGTTGACCTCTGTGACCTCTAAAGTAGGTTGAGGTCTTTTTCATTCGCAAACTTTGGTGAGCTCTATCCCAGGAAATCACCAGCCAAATATTATAAATTTATGCCTTTTAATTCTTCATCAGAAGTGGTTGAACCGTTTGACATGTTTGAACCCTGTGACCTTGAAAGTAAGTCAAGGTCATTTTCATATGCAAACTTTGAAATCCAGGAAATAACCAGCCAAATATTAAAGTTCTATACCTTCCAGTTCTTCAGAAGAAGTTGTTCTAAGCGTTAGACATATCTGACTCCTGTGACCTTGAGTAGGTCAAGATGTAGGTCAAGGTCATTTTCATTCTCAAACTTTGTTGGGCTCTTTCCTAGGAAGCTTCAAGCCAAATATTAAGGCTCTATACAATGCAGTTCTTCAGAAGAAGTCGTTTGAAGTGTTTGACATATCTGCCTCATGTGACCTTGAAATTAAGTCAAGGTCATTTTCGTTTTCACTTTGTCGGGCTCTATCCCAGGAAGCCACCTGCGAAATATTAAGATTCTATACCTTTCAGTTCTTCAGAAGAAGTCGTTTGAAGTGTTTGACACATTTGACCCCTGTGACCTTGACAGTAGGTCAAGGCCTTTTTTATTCGCACACTTTGTTCGGCTTATTCCATGGAAGCTAAGTGCAAATTGTCATGTCTCAAAACCATTTGGTATTTTAGAAGTAGTTGTTTGAAGTTTTTTTTACATATTTAACTCCTGTGACCTTGAAAGTAGGTCAAGGTCATTCATATGAACAAACTTGGTACCCCTTTATTCCAGCATGCTATTGGTTATATATCTTCACCCTATGTCTGTTCGTTATTGAGAAAAAGTTGTTTAAAAAGATTTTAACACATTTGACCCCTGTGACCTTGAAAGTTGGTCAAGGTCATTTTTATTCGCAAACTTTGTTTGCCTAATTCCAAGGAAGCTACCAGGTATTCTCATATCTCTTGGCTTTTCTCTATTTCAGAAGATAAGTTGTTTGAAAATTTTGACATATTTCACCCCTGTGACCTTGAAAGTAGGTCAAGGCCATTTTTATCCACAAACTTTGTTTGGCTTATTCCATGGCAGCTACTTACCAATTGTCATGTCTCTATACCTTTCGTTATTTCTTTAGAAGTTGTTTGAAGGTTTTTACATATTTGACCCCTGTGACCTTGAAAGTAGGTCAAATTCTGTTTTTTTCGCAAACTTTGTCGGGCTGCATATAAGGAAGCTACCAGCCAAATATCATGACTCTATGCCTTCTTGTTCTTCAGCAGAAGTCGTTTAAAGGAAATTTGACGGACTTCGGACAGACACCGGCCAGACGGCTGGACACCGGACACCATGCCATGGCATAAGCTCAGCTGCCCTTTGGGCAGGTGAGCTAAAAATGAAGCAAGTGTTATTTCTTTATATAAACTATAGTAAACTTTACCCTCTCGCCACAGGGGATTGGGTGGCGGTAGGTTAATGAAATTCACAATTTTGATTAAGCATCCTATGAACTCTTCATTAATGAAGGGTTTTTACTTATACATTGTACCATTATCTTGGTCTGAAGAAGAAGATCATTGAAGTTTTAGACAATTTGTTCCCTTTAATTAAGCCTCTCTGGTCTGTATTATTCACAAGTTTGGTTTGTCTTTGGCAAAATTTTATTGAAATCAGTTCAGCAGTTTTAGAGGAGAAGTCAAAATATCAATGGATGACACACGACCAGGGACAAAAGACAATTTCAACTCCAACTTTGTCTCTGGCTACATACAAATATATACAGTGAAAAATCTGAATACACTTGGCCTTTTCTTCTGGTACATATTAAAACTTTCACACTTAATGGCGTGCACAGTGTATTGAATTTGTGGACATACAAACAGAGGACAAATACAACATCTCTTCTGAGGACCATGTGATAGATTAGCCAAAGGCTAAACATGTCATCCTCGTTAAATAAAGTTGTTTATTATCATTATTATTAAATACCATCTTTTTCAGAAGGAGTTCCACAAGTTCTTTGATTCCTTCATCAGGATCCTCTTCTGTTTGTTGCTGAAATCAAGAAGAACATTTTATATAAAGTTGATGTACATAGTAAATATTGTGCCAAAATTAACGTATTTCTTGTTTTCTCATTTGAAGCACAATGAAACCATTGGGAGAAAATCGTTGATCTTGTAAATCAAACTTCAGTTTTTCTGTCCCACTGTTAACTTCACATTAATAATCTCATCTGAAACAATCTCAGTAAATAAACAACTTTGAGCTTTATATTTACTAGTTGACAGATTAGCCTTGGTGTCTGCTTACTGTCACTAACGAGTTCTTCAGGAACTGGAACATTTCCTCTCTTGATATAAAGCCATCAGCATTCTGGTCATACACTTTGAACGTATCTTAAATAATATACACAAAGGCGGATAAATGATACCACATATATATATACATTATAAAAGGCACTTCATTTCCATGGTATTGCATAAAATTCTAATTGAAGATTATTTTCTTGAAGGGAAAGAAATAGCCACTTCAACGGTATTAACACAAAAACAATTTCTTTTTCTAAACTTTGATGCTCTATATTTTAATTCCCACCATATCATGCTAACCAACAAGGACCCTTTTTCCTTTATTCTTGAAAATTACTTTACATGTATCCTCATTGTCTCACTGACCCTGTTTAAAATTTCTGAACATAACTGGACTATTTTTAACTATCATCTGCAACAACATTTTAACACGATTCTCACTTTTCAAGTGATATAATCCAAGGTAATAAAAACCTATTTCCCAGGTAAATAATCCCACTTCCAAGGTATTAAATCCCGTTTCCCAGGTAAATAATCCCACTTCCCAGTTGTAATACATGTATATCCCACTTCCCAAGTAATAAGATCCCACTTCCCAGGAAATATAAACCCACTTCCCAGGGAATATTATCACACAAATCCGGTGAAAAAGGCAAATTATCCAGACATCTAGAAAATTGGCATATTTAGGGGCAAAATTCCCTTTAAACAAACAGCATTGAAAATTTAGGGCAGTAGGTTGCACATCGTCAGAGTGTTGCAACTACATCTGTGTATAACTTTTACAAAATTTGTACAAAAACTGAAGGAGCTTTCTTGACAAAATTCCATTTACAGGCGAATGGACTGACAACGAGACACCAGTATACTCCTTAACTATGTTGCAGGGAGTATACAATTTTGTATAGTAGTATTATGTGTCAGAATTAAGTTTCTGTTTATAACATGAGTGATAGCAAGTATTAATCTTGGTCATTTTTATGATCATTTATGGGCACAACATGATTTCCCCTTAATTTTCCCTATTTCAAATTTAAACTAACACATTCAGCTATTGCTATAATTGATTTCTTGATTTCATTAATATTTTGATTGTATTTATTCATTGCAAAAAAAAATGATGAGAAAATAACTTTCATGAAGCAACCGCCTATGTTTAATGTCAAAACTAATACTTTTACTAATTGATGAACAGCTTACATTTCATTTTTTCCTCTAGAGAACCCTTTAGAAACGTAGAAAATCCGAGCACCCATTCCTCATCACTTAGATAGCCATCTGCATCAACATCAAATGCTCGGAAAACTGAAAATAAAAATGGTGAAATCTTGTTAAAACATGGCATGACCTTCCGTAGAAAATACATGTGGTCGATGCACATGCAAGTAGGTACCATAACATTTTTAGTTCTGGCCAGTCAATAATTTAAAAAAATATTTTTTTATAATATTCCTGACAAGCGATTGGCCAGATGTGAATCACCTGTCCACCGATAAAAACCAATATTGACTTGGAGCGCATGATTTTTGTTGAAGGACTTGGTGTTTCTAAAAATAGAATAATGACGTGTCTCCAAACGAACGTATCGTCCCACTTCCGCAGCTTTTTGCTATGTTTTTAAGATTGCTAACATTACTCTTTTGAAAATAATAAAACAATTGTAGCCTTTTACTTCGGTCAATACCTGGATTTATCAACCCGAGAAAAGAAATATATCTTTTCTCCGGTTAATAAATCCAGGTATCGACCTCAGCTAAGGCTATAATTGAATAGTACATGTTGATCTTATTAACATGTTTGTTGAAGTTATTTGTGTATGGGAAGATCCAGTATGCAGAAGGGTGGGGATGGAGGAGCTTAGGAATGGTCTGGAACACCCCACCCGACCTCCAATCTCCCTTTAGAAGGACAATGTGCATTCTGTTTATCTTGTACTTAATTGCATAAGGGAGTGAGCACTATACAAAGACAAAAAATAAAAATGCTAAAACCCTGTCTTGACAAAACTCCTGGATCCCTCCTGGTTACGTCAGCTTCTTTTTCGTCCATTTATTGTGTCAAGATGTCATTTTGTTTTGTAAAATCACCAGTTCATTTTATAACATATTTGCTTACATTTTTGACTGTGAATTTTGAAAAATGTAAGTTGATTTGATAAAAATTACCTTTCAATTTTATAAAATTGCCTGTTTGTTGAAACTTTCAACTTTTTAGCAGTTTAGTAAAATATCATTTTTTTTAATGTTTGAATTTTATTTTGTTTTCTTAAAATTGTCTTTTTTTCATTGTTGTCTATTTATGTTGTTACTTTGGTTGTTAATTATGTTAAAATATTTATGTCAAATACTGTGTTTATTCATTTTGTGATTTTGCTTGAAAAATAATATTTTCTGCTTCTATAAATGTACATGTTTTAGCGAATGTTGAAGCATATGCATGAACAACAAATTAAAACACAATCTCCAATAAGGTAGACAGACATTTGAACTTATGTGCTGAACATTTCAACATATATATAAAAAAAAAAATCAAATCGATAAATATATTTCTCCCCACACTTTTCACATGCCAGGCAAAAAACAAAAATCCAATTTCTTTCATTTCCGTGCTTGTCCAGGGTAAGAAAGGGGTGTGAGAAATTTCTATCCAACACCCCATTTCACGTGATGCGACGTCACAATGGCTCAACAATGATGTGACGTCACGAATTTGGAAAACTCTGATGTTGCAATGTGGAAAAGGCGACGTGATGAAATTTAACACGTTAGAAAGATGAAATTATTTTTTCTGCGCAAACTTGATGTTTGTGAATATGAGGTATGCTAAGTCTCGCTGATAGATTAGTTAACGTCAAAAAGCCCTTAGGAAAAGTTGATATTTTCAAAACGGTACCCAGTCCAAACGCATTTTCATGGTTTCTGAGCTTATTCTGGTAGTTGGAATGAGAGAAAAATACTCTTTCATGCCCAGAGTGTAGGATAGGGAATTCCATCCTCAGAATTTTCAAATTTGGCAAAACCCAAATTTGAAAACCCCTCAGGTGGAATTTTCCTATCCTTCACCCCTGGGCATGAAAAAGTAATAGAATCTCTCACCCCATTAGGGTGAGATTAATAGAATCATTCACCCCCTTTAGGGTGAGATAGGGGAATCTCAACCCGAGGGGGAAGATTCTAATGTTGCCAAACACAAGGCTTTGCCGAGTGTTTGGCAACTTAAGAATCTTTCCCCTAGGGTTGAGATTCCCCTATCTTACCCACAAGGGGGTGAATGATTCTTTTCCTCTTACCCTGTTCTCCCAATGTGTATCATATACACAATGTAATGATAACGTTACATGCTAAATTCAGGGTTGACGTGACGTTGATGGATTGTTGACGTGACGTCATTGTATTGTATCAGTGACGTCATACCATTGTTATAAATAGGGGAATCCCCCCGTCTCAACCCTAGGGCGGAGACAGATAAATCTAGCATCGGCAAAACGGGAGATAAATCTGTCAGGTGTGGGAGAAAGGGGAATCTCAACATGAGGGGGAAGATTCTTATGTTGCAAAACACGAGGCTTTGCCGAGTGTTTGGCAACTTAAGAATCTTTCCCCGAGGGTTGAGATTCCCCTATCTTACCCACAAGGGGGTGAATGATTCTTTTCCTCTTACCCTGTTCTCCCAATGTGTAGCATATACACAATGTAATGACAATGTTACATGCTAAATTCAGGGTTGATGTGACGTCATACCATTGTGTTATGAATAGGGGAATCCCCCCGTCTCAACCCTAGGGTAAGACAAGGAAACTCCATACCGGTAAAAGTGTGGATACATCTGTCCAGGGTAAGAGAATCTTATATTCTTTACCTACCCGAGAAAGACAGCTTATACATCATTATTCTCAAAAGGTCTCCTTCACATCATCACTTTCATGCAGTATAACCAGGGTTGTATTATAAATTTTGACACACATTTCATGAACTCCTGATGATAGCATAGGTTGACATTGGATTTATCGTTGCAAGATATTTTTACCATAGGAAGTGTGAGAAAAGAATTATCAATCACACTGTTGTGATTAAGAAGCAAAGTCTTGTGCTAATTTAGCACTTACATTGAGATTGCTTTGTCACATAGGAGTGATTAATAGAATCGGAAAGGTTAAGATTCTCAATCTCACCTCAAGGAAGTGAGTGATGCTTTTCCCTTTTTCCTGTTGACCATGTCATTATACAATGCAGCGCTGACCTTACAGGCTCAATGCATTGTTGACGTGACGTCAAACAATTGTTATGTCAGGGAAATCCCCCATCTTTACCCTAGGGTAAGACAGATATTTCTCACATACTTCAAAGGGTGATCCTGTTGTTGCTAGGGAAAAGATAACTCTATCTTACAGGGTAGAGAAAGACAGCTGACACGTGCTATGACGTCATAATAATGGATTGTCGACGTGAAGTCATTTTATTGTTTCCGTGATGTCATACAATTGTTGTGAATGGGGAATCATCTGTCTCAACCCTAGGGCTTTGGGGTTTGCCGGAAGAATAAGATTGATGTTTATTTCGACTGGAATTTGTTTATTTGTATGTATGTGAGAAAAATATTCAAACATGGGTCTGTTCCATAGACAGGGATATCTCAACCCTCGTGTAAGAGTTTGGCTGGCCATGCAGCACTCAGCAAGCATCATGCTGACCAGCTAAACTCTTCCACTCGGGTTGAGATATCCCTGTCCACGGAACAGACCCATGTAAGATTCTATTAGTCTTTCCTTGACCAGAAGTGTGTATTTTTCTGTCTTAGGGGGAGAGAAGGATATCTCACAAAGTGTAGTGACACCTGTCCAGGGTAAGAGGAAATAGATTCTAAAATTCTTAACTCACTTCGATCCATCAAGACATCGTCCGTCATTTTAAATTCTTCATACAGCAGATCTGCAAATCTTTGTCTTTCCATTTTTGGTTTGTCAGATTTTCCGTGAGTCCCTGCATTTTTCTGGTGCATTTTGAGTAATCGTTCCACCTCTGGGACTCCAACTGGAAAATAAATGTACGGTCAATGTCAGATTTGAAACTGTGGTATGATTTCAATCTTTGTATCTCCATTCTATTGAATTCACATTAAAATAGGCACATATAAACTGTATTTCAGTAGAAAATTGTGCTCAAGTGAACTAACTAACAATTGTGTAACTGTCAACCTCTAACACTACGAAACTCCCATTGTGGGTCATGAACTTAATTGAATTTTCCATGAATGGAGTATTCTAACATTGTTAGAGGTTTAACAGGCGAGATACAGGCACCATGGCACTGTCTGCAGTCTTCGTAATCATATCTGATAAAACAACACCCCGCCCATACAGTGGCCTAGCTATAGCTCTTATCAATATTATATATTAGAGTATATAAAAGGTAGAGGTTGGGAGGGGAACACTCACCCTACACACACATTAGCGTGACCCCCCCTCAAAAAAAAACATCACACGCACAAAAAAAGGTGAATAAAACCAACGAAACATGAAATTTACTTCTTATTTAAAATAAAATATAAAAATATAATTTATCTTACAAAACATCCGCCACATTTAAGCCATTTTGATCTCTGTGGAGTATAACATATATATAGAGAGATTTTTTTAATTTATATTTTTTCATTAATCACTCTAGTTGTAGTATATTTTATTATTCTTGTAAATCTTCCTGCGTTTTATTTTTATTGTCACAAACATTCAGCAATCATTTTATTGGTGGCCAGAAATTTACCGCAGTAATTGCAAATTATAATTAATATCAATCACAGTACCTGTGGGCTTTAATAAGCTTTGATTATCATTTAATATATGTTGCATGTGACGTGTGATAAAAGTATAGCTACATGATTCAGCTCAGTCAGGATATAATTTAAATGTGTGTATAAATTTATGGTTTGCATAAATGTCGTTAATTTCAGTGTGGTGTATCTTAAAAAACAACTTGTATCGATACAATTTATGCGGGACTATAACAAAAATAAATGTACGCCATTGACACCGATCTCCAGCAGGGTCCAGAGACGTTACAAAGATTATAATTGATGTCAACCTTACACTGCATTAAAAAAATCACATTTAAAAAACACAGTTATAAATCTGTATAATTACTGATGATCAATAACAGAATACCAGTATCCTAGTAGTATAACCCCTACGTTGTCAATATAAACAAAGTGAAAATGGTCGACTAGTTGCGGGCTCTATATCTACCATGAGTAAAAAAACAAAAACACTTACAGTGACTCTTCCTGTGTAAGTCGTCGACCAATTTCCTCCTTGACCTGGCCTTGGCTTTAAGACTCTCCATTTTCTAGCGATGTGTTGAAAACGGTTCGTGTAATCGACAGTTATCAGTTTTTCGTCTAGACAGTTGGATGCGCTTCGGTCAAGTGACAGGTGCTCGGAAACAAACGAAACGAACCACGCTTCAAGAAGAATATTTAACCAATTTTACTTCTCTAGATATGTTCCATTTATTATTTATTTATGTATGTTTTATTTTTAATGGGAAATTTTGTATTTGAAGATAAAAAGTCATTATTTTAAACGACGATATTGCTTTCCGTTTTAATAGAGTGCGGATTAAGTATTTACCATAATCGAAGTTTGAGTTACTATGAGATTTACGCATGCGTCGGTATAACATGGGCCCATTTGTAAAAGGCCTGGTCAGCTTAACAAGTCGTAAATGTAATTTTCAACAACGATCTAAAATCTTCCAAATATTATTACGTTTGTTGTCATAAGATGAAAATTTTCAATCCTTATAAATGCAAGTTTAGTTTCGAATAGTGATCTTTTTTTAATATACATCTTTTTTAACAGCTGTGCCCGGTTCGGTCCAACACTAGAACTATATACGGTATCTATCTTTTAAATCGTACATAAACTAATTCGTGATCTTGATTTTATTTTCTTATTTTTTAACTAGTTTTATAATTTCCTGTTTTGTATGTAAAATGTGATGTGCGAATCAACATACATAAGATCAAAGGGCGATTGTTCAGAAGGTTCGGTTCAACAACAATTTTAAACATCGAACAACATCAGCTTTATATAAACAAATATCAAAATGTATGGTTGTTCCATTGAGCAATGAAGTACTTTTTATGATTGAAATATTATAAAAAATCAAACTCGGGTCACCAAGAGTATTTCAACGAAAGAGACATTTAACGTTATTCAAATACCTTCTATTTTTTTTTCTGAAACTAGTCATGGGGGATGGGCGTGTTAGTTTAGTTTATTTTTATTACTCTCGTGCAAATGGATTGGGCACAAGTTATTAAACTTACATTAAGCCCTTTCCCAGCAAATTAAAAGCATATATTTACAATATGACAATATGGCAGACTTAATTAATATACATATATACAATGTTTCATTTGTCAATGCTTTCATTTATATATCGAAAGTATAAGAGTGAGAGACAGAGACACAGAGAGAGTGGGAGGGGGGGAGGGGGTCCTCAATTATAGTACATACATCCTCATCATTATTAATGTGTGACAGATGATATCTGCCTCCAAAACAACAGATAGTGTAAACATGAATATCGGACCATGTGGTTATTCTTTCTCCATGTAAACGGAACCAGTGATATTCAAATCGCTGTTCACAACTAGCTGCTTTTCAAATGTTCATCACATCCCTATGTAACCTCCTCCTATTCGTCCCGTGCTTTCTGGTATTTCCGTTTCCACCAGTACGTCTTCACAGAAGACGACCAAGCACATGGTTTTATTACATTGTTACATACAATTATACTTATTTATTACTATCAATCATTTTCATCATTTCCGAGACAATTATACATAGAGAGAGTGTATTACATAATTGTATTTATAGGTATTTCCCCGGATGTAGTTGTAGCATATTCCTGTTTTTATTTATAGCTTTGTTTTGTTAAATAGCTGTTTTCTTCTTTTAGCTTTATAGCTGTTTTATCTAAATTTAAGGATCATGTAATGGTGGTTATACATGCCTAAATATTAATTAATTAGACAAAAGACAACAAAAAATAAACACGATAAGGTTTTTTTTAGAATACGGTGCTTCAAGCACTTTGGAGCAAATGCTTTTAAATCTATGCTTATGCTTTTCTCAAAATGCAAGTTACTGAAATGTGTAATTCATTCAATTTTGACTGAAAACAGATCAAAATCGGCCATTTTGGAATACCGAAGTGTTAATAAAACCTTAGTTCGAACTCAAAATCGGTAAAACTAGTGAAAAACGCAGAAAGGACAGATTAATATGGGTTCCATTGAAAACTAAGAAGGAGAACACGACCAGGTGTTCTAGAAGGGTAAGCGTCTTTTGCTTCCTCGATGACACCGCCATGTAAGTCGAATAGTAATGTCACGTCCCCATATTGAGAATTCGGGTAGTGAAACCAAAACCAGACACTCTAGTGAGCATAAAAAACATCGAACTTCATATCACATAAAGAAACAGCGTATTTCCCTGTGAGATCATATTGGTGACTATAAAGCTCGTCCATTGTCTTCATCAACCTGTATCTGTGGAAACTCTGTGTTGTAAGTTTGTCCATCAGCAGTCGACATCTATCACGGAAACTCTCAGTGATGTAAGTTTGTCCATCAGCAGTCGACATCTATCACGGAAACTCTGTGTTGTAAGTTTGTCCATCAGCAGTGGGCATCTATCACGGAAACACTGTGTTGTAAGTTTGTCCATCAGCAGTCGACATCTATCACGGAAAATCTGTGATGTAAGTTTGTCCATCAGCAGTCGACATCTATCACGGCAACCATGTGTTGTAAGTTTGTCCATCAGCAGTCGACATCTATCGCGGCAACCCTGTGTTGTAAGTTTGTCCATCAGCAGTCTACATCTATCACGGAAACTCTGTGTTGTAAGTTTGTCCATCGGCAGTGGGCATCTATCACGGAAACACTGTGTTGTAAGTTTGTCCACCAGCAGTCGACATCTATCACGGAAACTCTGTGATGTAAGTTTGTCCATCAGCAGTCGACATCTATCACGGCAACCCTGTGTTGTAAGTTTGTCCATCAGCAGTCGACATCTATCACGGAAAATCTGTGATGTAAGTTTGTCCATCAGCAGTCGACATCTATCGCGGCAACCCTGTGTTGTAAGTTTGTCCATCAGCAGTCTACATCTATCACGGAAACTCTGTGTTGTAAGTTTGGCCATCAGCAGTCGACATCTATCACGGAAACTCTGTGATGTAAGTTTGTCCATCAGCAGTCGACATCTATCCCGGCAACCCTGTGTTGTAAGTTTGTCCATCAGCAGTCTACATCTATCACGGAAACTCTGTGTTGTAAGTTTGGCCATCAGCAGTCGACATCTATCACGGAAACTCTGTGTTGTAAGTTTGTCCATCAGCAGTCGACATCTATCACATCATTCAGGATATTCGGAACAAACGCCTAGTCTGCTGGAAAATCTTGCCACCGAACTCAACATGGCTATTTTCAACCAGGAACTCATTCATTCTCACAATATTGTCCATAGTAAACATGCATTTTGTTTTGGCCTTTGTTGTTCTTTTAACGAATCAAGCTCCAATATAATTCACAACCAAATATTTATATCGCCGTCCGCATTTCTTTGAAAAGTCAGCTCGCACAGCAAGAGAACGTATGCCTTCAGTTTGGTATGAGGTATGGTAGTATAAAGGGTCGAAAAGTCAAAAGTTTTGACAGAAGAAACATTTTTAGTAGACGATGTTCAAGGTTGATCTTTTGATATTTTGAAATCCACATACCGTTTATTTCACATCTTGAGTATACAGTATCACAAAACGACTGCAACCCTAATGTATTAACGCCAATGACGAATAAAACCTTAACTCGAACTCAAAATCGGTAAAACTAGGAAAGAAAGGGAAAAAGGAAATATGTTCATGGGTTGTAGGCGGGGAATGCATTGACAGCAATTTTGTGCATGAGAAAGAAAAACCCTATATCCTTGCCAAGGCAACCCGCCTCCATATCCAGACCGCATCGTCATTTGACATACGTCCTAACCTTCTCGAGTTCATACCTATTCTAGAGCCATGACACGTTCTTCTGATAAGGCAACATATTGAAGGTAGACACGTGCGTCATATTACTGATAGCCTGGACACAATGGATCTAAGGTGGACGTTTAGCGTACTCCTGGTAAGAAATAAAACGTAATTAGATATTGGTACACTGTTTATGAAAACGTATTTGTAGGAGTAACACAAAAATTTATTTCAAATCATATAGGCAAATCGCATTCTCAGGAAAAAGCCTATGGGTGGTCAGTTGGGGCATTTGACAGCACACCCGTTTTTTAACCAAGATCATGGGTTCAATTACCAGGTCAGACGTGAGAAGATATTGGGACCAGAATACTGATAAAATAGTAGTTTCTAAACTTGGTTCATAATTGTTGTAAAATAAACCCATTTCGAAACATTTTAGGAAATTACTCGATGGTCTTGTGCGGTATGAATGCCTTATGTGTTTGTTTATGGTATTTTGTGCGGTATGGATGCCTATGTGTTTGTTTATGGTATTTTGTGGGTATGAATGTCTATGTGTTTGTTTATGGTATTTTGTGTGGTGTGAATGCCTATGTGTTTGTTTATGGTATTTTGTGCGGTATGAATGTCGATGTGTTTGTTTATGGTATTTTGTGCGGTATCGATGCCTATGTGTTTGTTTATGGTATTTTGTTCGGTATGAAAGCCTATGTATTTGTTTATGGTATTGTGTGCGGTATGAATGCCTATGTGTTTGTTTTATGGTATTTTGTGGGTATGAATGTCTATGTGTTTGTTTATGGTATTTTTTGCGGTATGGATGCCTATGTGTTTGTTTACGGTATTTTGTGGGTATGAATGTCTATGTGTTTGTTTATGGTATTTTGTATGGTATGAATGCCTATGTGTTTGTTTATGGTAATTTGTGCGGTATGAATGCCTATGTGTTTGTTATGGGATTTTGTGCGGTATGAATGCCTATGTGTTTGTTATGGGATTTTGTGCGGTATGAATGCCTATGTGTTTGTTTTATGGTATTTTGTGGGTATGAATGTCTATGTGTTTGTTTATGGTTTTTTGTGCGGTATGGATGCCTATGTGTTTGTTTATGGCATTTTGTGCGGTATGGAAGCCTATGTATTTGTTTATTGGATGCCTATGTGTTTGTTAATGGTATTTTGTGCGATATGGATGCCTATGTGTTTGTTTATGGTATTTTGCGCGGTATGAATGTCTATGTGTTCGTTTATGGTATTTTGTGTGGTATGAATGCCTATGTGGTTGTTTATGGTATTTTGTGCGGTATGAAAGCCTATGTATTTGTTTATGGTATTGTGTGCGGTATGAATGCCTATGTGTTTGTTTATGGAATTTTGTGCGGTATGAATGTGTATGTGTTTGTTTATGGTATTTTGTGCGGAATGAATGTCTATGTGTTTGTTTATGGTATTTTGTATGGTATGAATGCCTATGTGTTTGTTTATGGTATTGTGAGCGGTATGAATGTCTATGTGTTTGTTTATTGTATTTTGTGCGGTATGAAAGCCTATGTATTTGTTTATGGTATTGTGTGCGGTATGAATGCCTATGTGTTTGTTATGGTATTTTGTGCGGTATGAATGTCTACGTGTTTGTTTATGGTATTTTGTGCGGTATCGATGCCTATGTGTTTGTTTATGGTATTTTGTTCGGTATGAAAGCCTATGTATTTGTTTATGGTATTTTGTGCGGTATGGAAGCCTATGTATTTGTTTATTGGATGCCTATGTGTTTGTTAATGGTATTTTGTGCGGTATGAATGTCTATGGGTTTGTTTATGGTATTTTGTGCGGTATGAAAGCCTATGTATTTGTTTATGGTATTTTGTGCGGTATGGAAGCCTATGTATTTGTTTATTGGATGCCTATGTGTTTGTTAATGGTATTTTGTGCGATATGGATGCCTATGTGTTTGTTTATGGTATTTTGCGCGGTATGAATGCCTATGTGTTTGTTTATGGGATTTTGAGCGGTATGAATGTCTATGTGTTTGTTTATTGTATTTTGTGCGGTATGAATGTGTATGTGTTTGTTTATGGTATTTTGTGCGGTATGGATGCCTATTTGTTTGTTTATGGTATTTTGTGCGGTATGAAGGTCTATGTGTTTGTTTATGGTATTTTGTCCGGTATGAATGCCTATGTGTTTGTTTATGGTAATTTGTGCGGTATGAATGCCTATGTGTTTGTTTATTGTATTTTGTGCGGTATGAAAGCCTATGTATTTGTTTATGGTATTGTGTGCGGTATGAATGCCTATGTGTTTGTTTATGGGATTTTGTGCGGTATGAATGCCTATGTGTTTGTTTTATGGTATTTTGTGGGTATGAATGTCTATGTGTTTGTTTATGGTTTTTTGTGCGGTATGGATGCCTATGTGTTTGTTTACGGTATTTTGTGGGTATGAATGTCTATGTGTTTGTTTATGGTATTTTGTATGGTATGAATGCCTATGTGTTTGTTTATGGTATGTTGTGCGGTATGAAAGCCTATGTATTTGTTTATGGTATTTTGTGCGGTATGGAAGCCTATGTATTTGTTTATGGTATTTTGTGCACGTTGTGGTGTAGTTGTCTCTACCCCTGTCCTTACTTTGAAACCATGACATTAATTGGATTTATTTATTTTTGTTTTATGCTTGGCATGTCGAATTTGAAATGTGATTTGTCAGAACCGGTGAGAAATATCAAGTAAAACGCTAACTCTTTTGAAGGATATTTTTTATTTGAATTTCGGTCTAGCCCCGCTGTTTTTTGTTTTGTTAATTTAACACTCAAAGCACTGTAGCTGTTTATAATTTGTTTATTTCATCGTTATTATTTGTCATAAAAGTCCCGCAAGGTTCGGTTTTCTTATCAGAAATTATTTATGAAAACAATAGTCATGCCAGTGAAAATGGTTTCCAACTCTTCGTTGCAGCTTTTGGCAGTGGGGCGGGGATCATTAAGTAATGTTATGAAGAATGAGCGCAGTGCATTAATCAGGCCCCCAGGTCCTTCCCTAAGTCCCCCCATCGGAACGTGTCACCAGAATAGCGACTGTGGATATGGCTCCTGTTGTGTGACAGATAGGGGAGACACGCTGGCGGAGGGGTCCAGTTGTAAGTACATTTCTACAATCAATTATACATTCATCATATATATCAACTACACTCACGTCCCGTACAACTTACTAATCACAAAGTCGTCTGCATGAAATTCATTAACTAATCTCACTCGTATGAGTAGAACTCACAACTTATCTCACGCATATGAGTAGAGTTAATCAACTAATCTAATTTATATGTGTAGACTTCATTAGCTGATGCTTTATCTTGTTATTGTTTTTGTTGTACTTTCGTGTCTATTGTATTATTATTTGTTTTGTCTTTTTTACCTTGTCTTCTTTGTTTTGTCCCTTCTTTTGTCTTGTCTTGTTTTGTTTTGTCTCGTCTTTTTTGTCTCGTTTTATGTCTTGTTTTGTATTTTGTCTTGTGTTATCTCGGTGTTTTGGTCTCGTCTTTTGTGTTGTTTTTTCGTTGTTGTTTTTGACCCGGGATTTCTGAATTAGTTCTTGTCAATACTAACACTACTACTAATGTTATAACACTATAAACACTTCCGTTTTCAAACTAAACTAAATACACTAATAATACATGAAAAATATACTGCTTGAACTAATACCAAAATACAAGTACATGTAATAGAGAAATGACGTAGAGAGCAAAATATGAATATTAGCGATGGTAGAATTCATAGAAGGGCGCGTGTTGTCGGAAATGATGGCTCACGATATGAATGACGATATATTTCTGTTTTAGACATGTTTGGTCCTGGTGCAACTGGCACGTGCCGTCCTCACGTGATACAGGAGCATGGTGCGTGTGATTATCATTCCGGCTGTTCCTGTGGACCAGGTACTATATATAAAATAATAATGATAATAATACGAGGTTCTTATATACCGCTTTATCAAAACCCAATTCGTAGGTCGTCTCAAAGCGGTATACAAATTATTATCTGTGGTTATAGGGCATTTGCAACCAGCCAATATTTGTCTCAACTCCATGGAGAGCATACTGCGGTGCTTCTCTTTCGGTGCTCACAGCCAGCAATCAAAAATTCTAGCACTGCCCAACCACGTATTGGTACAACACGTACAGTGCCGTGCTGTGACTCGTACCCGCAACCCTTCGGTCACGAGCCCGGCGCCCTACCACTAGACTACCGTGCCTCCTATGGCTATGAATGAATGGCAATCAAAGATATTGTTTACTGGTACTTGAAACAGACAGACTGAATACTTGACAGAAGTTGTTGGTCAAATGTCATGATACCGCATCACGAGTTTAAATCGCGAGAACAGCCCCAATTCAGAAGATTACTTAAGCAAGATTTGTGGTTAGGGTTAGATAATCCCTTCAAAGCAGGTCATCCCTTGATGATTTAAATGACAGAAATTATTTTTCTATTATTTCATTGGTAAAAAGAATGTCTAAGGGTAAAAAATAGTAAAAACAAAAAATCACGGCTTTACAACCAACTTTGAGCATCAGGCTTATAATGAGCGTGAGGCAAATTCGCCGTATTTTTGTTAAAAGTCAAGAAACATTTTTGAAAACAGAGAGGGTATCTATTTTAAAGATTTAATTGATATGAGTTTCATATAAATGGCATTCGGGAAAATATAAATGTAATTTGGTGTTCATTGAGGATTTTCGAGGACAAACATATTCCTTCTTGATGGTTCGTTTTAAATATACAGGGAATCCAAGATTGATGTGTTCAATTTATTTCTTGTGTTGACAGCACATCGTATCCATATTACGAAGGGCGAAAAAGGCGAAAGTTAAACTGAGGCGAAAATTTCCTGTTAAACAGTATCTTCCTGAACTTTAACTATTTTGTAGGTCTTGAATGTTACCGGGAAGTTCAAGGTATCTGCTGTCCTCCAATGAGATGTCTGAACGCCACTTACGTCCAACACGAAAAGGAATATTGGCACACATGTTTATCGAGTGGCTCATGTGGTTTACCCCCCTAGGGTATACGACATCCATTGTTGATAACTATTTTCAAATATCTTGCAAATGCCGGAGAGAATTGAAAGGAAGTGTATTACTGTATCTTATACTGTGTAGCAGGCTTTATAACATACATTTTCTATATGCAAAACTGATATTTTTAGTGTAATAATTTAAATAAACCACTCATAACTCTCTTAGATTGACATGTGGTCATTTGTAATGTTTGTTGGTTTAATTGCGTCGCAAATTTTATGCATTTTTTGTGTCTTGCGAGCTTTAAATAAAACAACAGTATATATAAAGTGATTTCGGTGGTATTTCTTAAATACTATCGGATGAATAACTCGTTCCCCAATAACTGGTGTATGGAAGGACAGTATTAAATAAAATCTGTGAATTACAAAACGCGGGTTCTTTGAAGAAGTTGACATACATGGTTAAATATTCTATTTAATGCAGCATTAAAATGCTTAACTTATGTTTACTCCATTGCTGTTAACCTTTTGTAATGGACAAATCTAGTTAACAAAGGAATAGAAAATATAATCAAAAGACAAAATACCTCTATTACCTAGTTGTGGAAAGATGTTTTAAAAGAACACATAAAAACTACTTAATCTAGTAATATAGAAATAAAACAATAACATAATTACTTCTGAAAAAAGGAAATTTAATTTTGTATGCAACAACAAGTAAACCTGATGGGTTAGTATACAGTTTAAAAGTGAAAAAAACAACACTAATTCTTTATATTTCAGTGACATGTGCACCATTTTATATTTCAGTGACATGTGCACCATTTTATATTTCAGTGACATGTGCACCATTTTATAAAAAAAAAATCACAAAATCATTCATTCCGAGAAAAGAGCTACTTTACCAATTGTATTGGAAATCTTAAATTTAAGAGGAAAAGAGAACAAGAAATATACATTTGTGTATTCCGTCTTTGCGTATTGCAGAGTTATCTTATCTTTGGAGCAGGTATTGATTGTTACGTCACTTGTTTGCGAGAGTATCGTCATCAATTTTTGAGAAAACGACGTAATTTTCTCGCACAAACCAATGACGTAACAATCAATACCTGCTCCCAAGAGAAGATAACTCTGCAATACGCAAAGACGGAATAGTATCAACTAAAAATTGGTTCAACCTACTATTGCTCAAAGACAAGGGAATATCCATGCACGATGCAGTATAAGTAATGACCTCTCAAAACAATCGTTACATCCTAACTACTGGGACTCTAGTACAGCATAATCCACAAAATGACCATTACACACACATGTTTTATTCTAAATTGCAAATCACATAGTAACGTGTGCTCTATCTGTAACATTCACCGTGAAATAATAACAAATGTGATAAATGGGACTGACTACGTAAAAGTATGTATGTGGATAGAAAACACTATAAAGAAATATTTAACTAAACACCTCAGTCTAACGTTAGTTGAACAAACATCATTTTTTCCTAAATGCCTAGAAATGGATCTTAATGTTAAATGCCTAACAATTTTAAAAGACATTTGAAATTTGATTGAAGAACACATAAGATAATTGTTTTTTACAGATTAAAAAAAGCAATGAAATATTGTGAAATTACTCATTTTCTTGAGGTTTTTAATTGGTTAATTTTGTGGGTAGACTTCATCCACGAATTGATAGGTCCACGAACTATCACAGGGTTTACATACAGAAATTCTTCGTTTGAGTGTGTACTCGTTATCCACGAATTCATGTACCAACGAAATGGTATTTTGTTGGGTAACCACGACATTTGGGGCCCACGAAAATACACGATTTCACAGTATTACCAAACTTCATTTCAATGAAATAAACAACCGAAGCTTCCTAACCTGATTTTGATGCTATAAAGTTCATGTATTAAGTTTTCAATGTAGATGTCAATATGTATTGTGTGTATATCTTAATGGGTATATATGGTAATGCTTTGAATGTCTGTTTACCTGTTATCTCTATATTGATACCTGTGTTGTGTTATTGACACGAATAACTCATTTTCTCATATATATGTCTTGTGGAAGTTTTTGATTTTTGTTTTAGTTTTTAATTCAAATGTTGGAATTTTGAAGATATCTTCTTACATCAAATATAAAGATGCAGATTAAATAAGTTATTTATATTTTTTCATTGTGTGTTTTATTACCATAATCAACATAATCAGCATCGAATCACATCTAAATCACATAATCTAGCTCGTTCTGATAAACTTTTGCTGACCGATTCTGTTGGTCCGTTCTGATAAACTCTTGCTGACCGGTTCTGTTAGCCCGTTCTGAAAAACTCTTGCTGACCGGTTCTGTTAGCCCGTTCTGTTAAACTCTTGCTGGCCGGTTCTGTTAGCCCGTTCTGATAAACTCTTAATGACCGGTTCTGTTAGCTTGTTCTGATAAACTCTTGCTGACCGGTTCTGTTAGCCCGTTCTGTTAAACTCTTGCTGACCGGCTCTATTAGCCCGGGCTGTTCTGATAAACTCTTGCTGACAGGTTCTGTTAGCCCGTTCTGATAAACTCTTGCTGACCGGTTCTGTTAGCCCGTTCTGATAACATTTTTGCTGACCGGCTCTGTTAGCCCGTTCTGATAAACTCTTGCTGACCGACTAGGTTAGCCCGTTCTGATAAATTCTTGCTGACCGGCTGTGTTAGCCCGTTCGTATAAACTCTTGGATCCGCTTAATTAGCCCGTTTTCCCAATACTTCGTCACACAGAGTTATCATTATTCACAGTTTTCATATCTGTTTTAGATACATCTAAGCTCCAAATTAACTTCATCAAACTTAAGAATCCATCTGTCTTGAATAGGAGATACATAATAGATAAGTGACGATTTGTTTTTACAAGCGTCTCTTCCTAACTGAACGCTGATCCGGATTCGTAACTGTCAATATTCTAAACACACATGAAAGCAGTAATCTACTCATGTTTTGGCGAACGGAATTATAAAGTTGTCTAGATTTAAGAAGCCGGCCTTTCAGCTGAAAAAACAAATACATTCAATTAATCTTTGCTGGCTGCTTTAACTACAACATAGATCTATTGTTAAACGAAGACGTTATGGTAGAAATTTACAATCGCAAAATATTGTTCACATCAAGGGTATTTAGGTATTGTATAGTGGGTATCCACATAACCAACAATATCAATATCAAAAGAAAACTTAAAGTGTATTAAATTTCGTAAACATATTTACCTGGCATTGTTGAGTGGAGACTGATCGATCCAAGCCGATCATACTTATATCTTATCGACTCGGACACGGGTTCGCCCTCAGGTTGTTGGGAAGATGATTCCGATTTGTCGTTGAACCTAAACATTTTCAAACTGAAGCAACCGTTATCGGCAGATACAACTTCCGGTTTCAGTATCGGTTTTCTGATTTCGATGATGACCTCTCCAACAAACGTCTCATCTTGTACAACGCTTGCCAGGGATTTATCATCATCCTGTTTGATTCTTGGAAAGATTTGATCAAAGACTTTGTAACTTGCACTATTTGGTAAAAAGGTCAACTCTACCGGTTTTACATCCGGGTCAAACACGCCTTCAAGTCTCACCTTAAAACATAAGTAAGAAACAACAGGTTCTGTCATACAAATAATCTACTCCCGTCCGCCCTAACAGATCTAGACATACATCATCTATCGTTGATAGTTAACGTCATTAGAAAAGTTTCCTGGTTTAAAACTCTAATAACTCATTATTGCGATAAGTAAATATTGTTAGGTGATCATTGACATTTTGATTCCAGCATGTAACTGTTATTTTTCAACCTTTTGAAAAGACTTGTCACGAAACTTCAATGAATTAAACAAAATTACAGGCAATAAATAAGTAAACAGTACGAGATAAATAATTAGATAATGTCACCCTCAGCGATATCTTTTTCATGTTCAACATATCCATATGACCTTACCTGTACTCTTTCATATTCAGATAGTATTTGTTGTAGCGTTTCTTTTGCGGTTTTCCCTTGGTATCCATTTGACATCCAGTGTTTCGTCCTTGACTGGAATTTTCGTTTCGTACAACATTCCACAACGACAGAGTAGGGTTCTGTTTTCGTGTCGGGGCTTTTAAACATGACAAAAAATATCACCTTCCTTTGCTTTCTTAGAGAACGGCTAGCTGCGACGCTTACATCTTGGAAGCTTTTTTGCACCATTTCTCTACTGACTCCAACATAACTGTGTTAAATAACGGATGTATGTGATATATTACGTTTTACACAAAGTGTTACTTGATAACTGCAGTCCTTTCGCTCAGAATCTTAATAAAGTATTTATTTACCGTTTTTCTCCAGCATTCATAAAATTGTTGTTCTGATATATTGTATATCAGTGTTTAGCATTAATGCAAGACCTTACACTTGTGTTTTTCTAACTAATCAGAAAGCACTCTTTTATTGCGCGGACGAATATATTCACGAGTGCGCGGAGCGCAACAAGTGAATATATACGTCCGCGCAATAAATGAGTGCTTTCTGATTCGTTAGAAAAACACAAGTGTAAGGTCTTGCTTTTATCACATTCCTTCCGTATTTGGTAGAGATCGATAGAAAGATTTTATAAACTTTGATATTTATTGCAAATACCGGGAACTTTTCAGTTCGCCATGACAAGGGGATTCCCATAAAAAGTAGTTCCAGCTAGTAGGTAAATTCAACATTCCGTATTGCACATGTGCAATACAGAACGTTGTATTTCATGGTCTGAAAATTGCTTGTATTACTATAACAAGATTCAACAGGTATGTGATAAAAAGTAATAGCTAATTATGTTCCAGTGACTACCCGTTGTCTATGTAGATTCTGGCCATCCATACTTCAGTTGTATCAGGTGATTAAGGTATTATCATGAAGACAAAAGGAAGAGATGTGCCGAAGGTGTGGCCTTTCCCCTCACGCACACTTTTAACACCAGAATAGAAATCTGTTTTACAACCATGCTCGATTATACGTATAGTGTTTATAATTCATTTATACTCATTGTTAAAGGAGAGAAAAAGAAAAAAAATGATGGCAAAACCATACATGATCACCCATGTCCTACCTAGCCACAAAATATCTGCCAAAAGTAGGTTTAATTTATTTAATTTCTTATTAAAACTCGTCATTTGACTAAATCCACAATAATCGTTATAATTATTGTTCATATCAATAATAGGTATTGCTCATTATTCTCTCCTCCAGGTAAACTCTGAGTGCACTCCCCACAAAGTTTACCTGGATCCCTAACATAGTTCACCCAAGTCCTAATGGAGTGGGCTTCAAGTACACATTGTGCAACTTTTACACAGAACCGTTATTCCAGGGTAAAACGAATATCATCAACATTTACAACTCTTGACTAATGGCCAATATTCCTTCGTGTCTCATTTGCCTTAATATCATTAACAATACGTTGCATTGTAACACTTACGTAGAAAAGTGTGAAACTTGAAACGCTGCCAATGTCCCTGAACTGTCAAGAACTGCCCCAAGTGGTGTCCACCGTATTGTTTCATCCGAGCTGCTATCAGACGTGCCAATGACGGCTATATTCTTCAAATTCTTGTAACACATGATTGGCAGTTTGATCTGTGGAAACACATATTTTGTCAAAATAATATAGTAACAATGTTTTTTTATATTACATTAATAACATGGCATGGTAACGCCCAATTTGATAATATCAGACCAGGTGATGCTGACTTACGTGAAATTGTCGTAGGATGTTCATCAAAGCATTGCCACCATAGTGAACAAGACACAAACGATGTCGTCAGCATTATGGTATATTTATAGAAATAACACTGACATTAACTTGGATAAAGTTACCCTACGTTATATTTCAAAATACCAGTTTTAATTTAATATAACAAGTAGTATAGTGTGTGCGTCTGCTATTCCTAAACAAAGTGCCTGTGCTCCTTTGCCTCAGTTAAGTATACAAACTGGCGACGATAACGTTTACGATATGTCATTTTTTATGAAACTGTTCTCATGCTCCAGCAAGGATTTTGTGCTCAAGCCTAATTTCTTGTTTTGATTATAACTTAATAAACAAATCTTATTTTGTCAACGATTTGGAAAAACCTTTGAAGAGCTTAAAGACAAATACTATAACAGTGTCCACAGTTGACGTTTTGATCTTTTGAGATGGTTAAAGCGAGTTACAAGAAAGAAAGTTTGAGTACAAAATCCATGCCTGAGCATGAAAACGTTTCATGAATACGGGCCCCAGTCTTCACTTCCCGTTATGACATTTCCTGCGAGGTAAGTTTCCGTGCAAGAACCCGGTGTGTGTGTATTGTTAGTGGCCTTGTATCCTCCTCTGCCTTCTAACATGTTAATGAATCTGAGTATGTACGTCCGATCATTGTGTAAGGTGAGCCCTTTCCAATGTCACATCGCATACATGAAATCATCATTTTAGTGTCTTTAATGCTATATCAATTGTTTATTTATGCTGTTCCTAATACGCGCTTAAACAAGTACATAGACATCGTACTCAATGTGTACCAGAGGGAATTTGTTTGTTTCTTTACTTATAAACACATCTCAGGTAGGGTAGGTCTTGTATTCTATATAGACGTTCAAATTATACAATATCCTGCTCTCAAATCAGCCTAAAATCATTACTCTAAGTGTTTTGTTGCTTAAGATGAAGTCTTTTGAGGTTTTATACATATTTGACCTCCGTGACTTGAAAGTAAAAATTGTTTGACGCCATCCAATGAATTAACAATTATGATGAAGCACACTCATAGGCATAATTAATTGTCTCTCCAAATATCATTAAATAAATGTGATCTGATTTAGCTGTAATTACTGATAAATGCTGGAAGCCTATTTTCCTCTGGTCTGTTTTCTTTGTAATCGATCCTACAGTATATTTCTGTCGGCTGCTCTGAACTTAGTTTTACGCTAACAAATATGGCACTAATAAAATGATATACTTGTTTATTTTGTTTTCGTTCTTTTGGAATCTAAAATTGTGTGACTTTTAACCAGGAAGCTTGCCAAACCCTATATTGCTTTTACAGAATCCATAAAATTGTACCGCGCCCACCAGTACGCATGTCTATGACTTAAAGCAGTCCAGTAACTTAGTGATAATGGGCACTGATAACCGAGAAACTTACTGATATAGTGGCATTAGGTTGTTGACTCTCAGCCATTGAGATGTCAAGGACGTTTGTCATCAATAGAGGATCATCGTCGTCACTTTCATCTTCATTGGCTTCACTGCTGTCTGCAAACTAACATTTTCATTTTAGGTGGGTTTTTTTGTGCAAATATATACACATTTAAAATCGTTTATTTGAACATAATGCAAGTCTGATTGGAGTGATTTTTGAAAAAGTGAACAGAGTAGCTGAATTGCCAAAAGTCTTAATACACTTTAAAATCGGATTGTGTACTCAAACTCATTTTATATTTCAAATTTGTTTATGTGTTTTTCTACACTCCACTCACTGACTACCTCAATATTCATGAAGCCCGGAGTTTCAAAAGCTCTCTCTGGTATGAATATTTCCGAGTCTGGTTCTGTTTCCGGTTTTAGAACGGCAGGTTTGTTAGTTATTTCAAACACTTCTTTTTGTGACGTCGCAATCAGGGCGAAAGTCGTCGAACGGGAAGAGGAAGATCCGGGTATTTCCAAAGCGACCGTCACTTTTGTAACCTTTATAAAAGAAGAGGTCCAAACAACATAATGAAAACAAAACAAACCCACACATTCCAATGCATTTTAGTAATTATCTTATTGGGAAAAATGTTGAAAACTATGTCATTTAAAAGAAGAAAAATAAGAAAGCTTCATGGAAAAAAAATTCATTGTTTTAGCTAAGAATATAGTATCAAATATCTCAATTAGTAATAATATTGTATCTCATGCATATACATGATCTATTTAAGGATCCCTTTCCCACTGCACTGCGGTTTTTCGTATATACAGCAAGCTCGCTCCCCTTAATTTCGTCTTGGATATTTTACTGTATCACAGATGTTCCGGGACACTTCCGCTGACCAGATAGCTCAGTCGTTAATAGTGAAGGTACAACACTATGAAGTCGAGGACAAAACCCCCTGTCTAGCCCAGCTGTATTTGTACACTCAGAACACTCTTATTGACTATACCTTATTGATTATATCTTATTTATTTCATCTTCATTATTTTTCATAAGAGTCCCGCAAGTTATGGTATTCTTTTTAGAAATAATTTATCAATGCTAGTATTGTTGGACAAAAAACCAGTTTGCAATGCGTATTCACATTGTTTTTGTGTTCTTCAATACACCTACATTGGAGTTTCTGTCCTTTTCTGGAACAAATTCTATTCGTCCATTGAAAGGTTGTTCATCCATAGCTTTGACACCAAGGTGCTCATTCATCCGTAGCATGCCGTCCACTGTGATGATCATTTTTACTGTCGTCTGTGGCAGGAACCACGCTTTGCACTCAATGACATCGCCAAAGAGCCTATCATCTCCAGATATCTGAGGCAGTATACCTGCTGCGTCCTGTCGTATTCGGCTGATAGTCAACACGAACGGAAGTTTCATTGAAGTATGAACCACAGAGATATCCAGACCTGGGAAATCCATCTGGTACATTGATCCAGCTTCACTCGACTCGGTAGAACCATCTCCGATAGGTACTTCACCATGGTATGTATGCTGAAGACCGCGACGGATTTCCCTGAGAAGGTATAAATAATACCTATAATGATAATTTAACAATAGTAATACCCTTCAATAAGCTCATCAGTTATATCCTGTTAGGGCTACTAAACAAACCTTTATCAGGTAATATCGACGTGTACTTGTACGCAGATTGAGCTTCAACTGGTTTGCGACTAATTTATTCAAAAAGGATTTATTTTTGTTTTCATGTATCTAAATTTTATGTCAGTCATATATATATAACAGAAGCATATTTCATGAGTGATAACTGTATTCTATGTTGAAGTGTTGATCCTTTTGTATGTTGTGATGTGTAAATGTTCACGTTTCTGTCGTGAAAAGAGGGGCGGATTGTCCTGGAAATTTGATAAATTCTATTGTCTGTACTGTTGTTATTACTTCTTTGTAATAATGTCAAAATGAATTGCAGTTTGTGTGACAGGAAAAAGATATAAAAATTTAGAAAACCACGAGAAGAGATTCTCTTGAGGAGCTGTAAAGCAGCGAAAGGCCTCGAGCATCGATATTTTTTGGTGTATATAGAGGATCTGTCATAAGTTTCCCTTCATATTCGATTGATGATACAAGTTTTGTGTCTTTTATGTTTACGAGCCTCAGGCGAGCAAGGTTTGGCTTGGTTTAGTATTGTTTAACGTCCCATCAAAAGCTATGGTCATTTAAGGACGGCCTCCCTGTGTTCAAGATGCATGCGTGTAGTGTATGCGTGTGTGTTTTAGGAGGCTGCGATATGTTCAAATATGAAAAATCCAAAACAAATATCAAAATGAATGACTGATTCGTTTTATCTTATAATACAAAGTAAACTGTAAAATTGTGATCTGAAATGAATATTTTGCACTTTGCATCTCTGAAACGATGAAAAATGCGTCCGCTTCACAATGATTTGACGCCACATTGTTGTTCCTATTCGACTGTGACGTCATTTGCGGAGTGATATTACATATGTTTCATAAACATAATTTATGTGATGGCTTTATGACATTTCATAACACGGTATTTATATGATAAATATATATATCTGTTACCGAATTTGGGAATTCGGACTTAACCATTATATAGTAGTTTCTCAATTATGATTGCAAGGTACTTATCGCTTTCTTGTGGCTTGAAAAGTTCCTTTTTATTTTTGTGTAATTCCGATCTGGAATCTCTGTATGTTTGGACTTTTCTTAATGTATCGGACCTGATCTTTTATAATTTGGTTTGTTGATTCCCCTCAATTTTTATTTTTATTTTCAACAATCATTTGTATGGTCTTTATGTTGTATAGGAGTAATACCGATCAACATATTACATCTAAAAAAAAACACCCAGGTATTTCAAATAAAAAATATCACATTTGATTCAGTTTCGTCAGGGCGCAACGGTTCTATATACATAGTTAACAGTTAAGAAGAATTTTGATGCTTGACGATTTATATCTCATGATAGATGTACAAAAATATGTAATTGTAATAAAAGATACCCTTATTAGTATGAACGAGTCACCTTACCATTCGTTGTTATTATACGTGTTTTGCTGCCCTTTACCGGACTGCATAAGTCTGCGTTAATTCGTCATTTACTTAACAGTTGCACCGAACTTGCCATGCAAACACGGAGATAAAACATGTGTGTTTGTTCTTATATCAGACATATATTATAAACGTTCTGAACATTTCATTTCGTGTTCACATCTGACAATATCTGACTCATCTTGACTTGAGTTATCAAGTCAAAACGTGATAGAATATTTTATATCAAAATGCGTTAAAATCCATCACAGTTGCTTAATTTGGCTTCACTTTCACACAATGGAATTACATATTTGGCACCACACCAGTGAAGTGTGATAAAGACTTTGTTGTTATATATTTTTTTTTACCTTCAAACATCATTATCATAATAAATTGTTAAAATTACCCATGTTTGAGTGCGTCAACAGTTCTTTGGTGATTCGTCAAAAGTTCTAGCAGTTGTTCCTCAGCTTTGTTCTTATCTGCTTTTTGAATCTAAAAAAAGTAGGAAATAAATAATTTATTTAAAATTGATCACGCAACAACAACGGCGGACACTTTCGTTTTTTTAGAAGTATGTTTCAGTGTAATACTGTGAAATCCCTAATTTTCATTGGTTTCTTAATTTCGTTAATTTCGTAGGTAATCTTCATCAATGAATTTATAAGTCCTCAAAGTAAGTATACGTTTCATATAATGCAATTCTCCGTTTGAGCGTGTTCCCGATTTAACGAGAATTCATGTACCCACGAAATGGTGTTTTGTCGGGAAACCACGAAAATTGGGCCTTTCAAAATATCGAATTTCACAGTAGCATCCTTATTTCATCGTGACTACCCTCACACATTTAGTGACGTCACAGGCAGTTGTCATTATCAGTCTAGACCCTGTATATGTTTTATGACATAGGCTGAACGGCAACGTGTTGATTGTTTCTATTTAAACTCACCTGATTTCCACATGATGTTTCATCTACTGGGATAGCCGGAGACCCTAAAAGTAGCAAAGTCGCAACGGTCCTCAAGTGACGTTCCTTCACCGCCAATGTCAACGGTAAATTCTTCATCTTAACAAATCAACAGGGAAAAGTGAAAAATATCAAATTGATAGGATCAGCATTCTCAAATTTATCTTTTTTTATTTATTTATTGACATTGGTGTCAGACACTTATATCATTGAAAAATGTTAAATTTAATTCAAATTTAAATATATATATATATATGATGTTATAAAAATAGTGAACTTAATTCGGTTTATATAAGCTTCATCAACTAAGTTTATAATCTTTTCATAATTAGTAAAAATTAGATAATATGACTTTACGTGGAAAACAAATTATCACTAATATAGTAAACAAACATAAATGTACGTTCATTTTTATTGATATTTGAAAGGATAGATGAATTCAAAATTTGGCGTTACATTAAGAACATTTAGGGTATCACTTTATTCGTACATGGTCCACCACAGCCAAGCTACCCCCTAGTGCTATCAGCATCACCATTATATCTTTCTTGCCGACAGCTGCTGCCTTGTGTAAGGGGGTCTGGCCGATCTAAACAATCAGACAGAAAAAAAAGTGTCAGGGATAATTCAAATATATTGCAAATATAAAATTTCGTTGTATTTGCAAATGTAATGTTGTCTGAATTAAGAATTTTCTGGTTTTTTTCTTCTAGTTTTCCATGTGAGTTGAGCTTTCTGACAATTGTATTATCCGGTATCTGCACTCTCAATACAAGACACCTTCAAATGACCAAACAAAGTGGTATAACCATAGTTTAAAATTTTATCATTTTGCCTTTTTCTGATTCCAATAAATGCAAAAAGTGCTTATTTAATGTCGTAAAATTCTCGCCTACCCGATCTTGGGTGTTCACATCAAGACCCTTCTCAGTTATCAGCTGTCTGGCGATGTTAATGAACCCTTCGGAAGCGGCGTGATGTAAGCACCCCATTCCAGCCTAACACCAATAGATGCAATCGCGTGTAAGCAGTAATTTTGTATAACATGTACTGTGAAATCAATTATTTTCGTGGGACCCAAACTTCGTGGTTTCTAGAAAAAACACCAATTCGTGGGTATATGAATTGGTGGGTTACCAGTATCCACTCATACGGAGAATGACTTTATGTTAAACTTGTAATTAGGTCAAGGACCTATTAATTTAGATGAAGATGACCCACAAAATCAACGAAATTAAAAATGGTTTTAAACCCCACGAAAATTAATGATTTTACATCATATCATCTGACTTTTCTTCTAAATTCATCCATAGTAATTTCGCGGTCATGAACGATCATGTTTGAAAATATACAGATTTAGATAACTTTGAACACACAAATATTTCACAGTATGACACTTAATGGATTTTCTGAAAAGAAAAAAAACAATTGAAGCGTAATTGCGAAATATCAGTATGCAAAGAAAATATGACATTTATGCACCTAATAACTTTGTCGTATCTGTGTTCTAGTTGATACACTGCCATATTTTATATTGTAAGCTTATAGTCGTTATTGAAATAGAAAATACCGTATCAGTGACGCTGACATCAATGTCGGGTTTTCGTAACAGTCGGCGAGCTTCTTTTGTGTCACGCTGGCAAATTGCTTCTAAAAGGTTGGTTCCAAGTATCTAAAAACCATCATCAATGGTAGATAGTCATTTAAGTATCACGTGGGCAAGTATATGTTCATGACGTACACAATTTATATATATCCTGAAATCTTGATAATAGGAATGCATTGAAAATAGGCGGGCCTTGATTATAAACATTGAATTCCTTACATTTAAAACAAATCTAGGAAATTACCGTCTTTAAAAGAAGGCCTGCCTTGAAAGACAACTTTACAAAATAGATTGAATCGGAGGCATGGAAGTCAAGTGGAAGGACGCCGGGCTCGTGACCGAAGGGTTGCGGGTTCGAGTCACGGCACGGCACTGTGTCGTATCCTTGAGCAAGATACTTTACTCCGCTTGTTCCAGTCTACTCAGCTGTACGTGGTTGGGCAGTGCTAGAGTTGTAGAATGTTAGCTGTGAGCGCCGAGATGGCAGCACCGGCTGTATGCTCCCCAGGGAATTGAAAAATATATTGGCTGGTTGCAAAGGCCTTATAGTCACGGATAATAATTTATGAACCGCTTTGAGACGACCCACGAACTAGGTTGTGATAAAGCAGTATATAAGAACCTCGCGTTATATTATTATTAAAAAATAAATGTCTGTGTTTTTGTACAATAAGTAAAATAGAGTTTGATTAAACTCTATTAAAACAGAGGTAAGAGTTACCTTGTATAGGTATAAACAGAGGTAAGTGTTACCTTGTATAGGTATAAACAGAGGTAAGTGTTACCTTGTATAGGTATACACAGAGGTAAGAGTTACCTTGTATAGGTATAAACAGGGGTAAGAGTTACCTTGTAGAGGTATAAACAGAGGTAAAAGTTACCTTGTATAGGTATACACAGAGGTAAGAGTTACCTTGTATAGGTATAAACAGAGGTAAGAGTTACCTTGTATAGATATACATAGGGGTAAGTGTTACCTTGTATAGGTATAAACAGAGGTCAGTGTTACCTTGTATAGGTATACACAGAGGTAAGAGTTACCTTGTATAGGTATAAACAGGGGTAAGTGTTACCTTGTATAGGTATAAACAGAGGTAAGAGTTACCTTGTATAGGTATAAACAGAGGTAAGAGTTACCTTGTATAGGTATAAACAGAGGTAAGAGTTACCTTGTATAGGTATAAACAGAGGTAAGAGTTACCTTGTATAGGTATAAACAGAGGTAAGAGTTACCTTGTATAGGTATAAACAGGGGTAAGAGTTACCTTGTATAGGTATAAACAGAGGTAAGAGTTACCTTGTATAGGTATAAACAGAGGTAAGAGTTACCTTGTATAGGTATAAACAGAGGTAAGAGTTACCTTGTATAGGTATAAACAGGGGTAAGAGTTACCTTGTATAGGTATAAACAGAGGTAAGAGTTACCTTGTATAGGTATAAACAGAGGTTAGAGTTACCTTGTATAGGTATAAACAGAGGTAAGAGTTACCTTGTATAGGTATAAACAGAGGTAAGAGTTACCTTGTATAGGTATAAACAGAGGTAAGAGTTACCTTGTATAGGTATAAACAGAGGTAAGAGTTACCTTGTATAGGTATAAACAGAGGTAAGAGTTACCTTGTATAGGTATAAACAGAGGTAAGAGTTACCTTGTATAGGTATAAACAGAGGTAAGAGTTACCTTGTATAGGTATAAACAGAGGTAAGAGTTACCTTGTATAGGTATAAACAGAGGTAAGAGTTACCTTGTATAGGTATAAACAGAGGTAAGAGTTACCTTGTATAGGTATAAACAGAGGTAAGAGTTACCTTGTATAGGTATAAACAGAGGTAAGAGTTACCTTGTATAGGTATAAACAGAGGTAAGAGTTACCTTGTATAGGTATAAACAGAGGTAAGAGTTACCTTGTATAGGTATAAACAGAGGTAAGAGTTACCTTGTATAGGTATAAACAGAGGTAAGAGTTACCTTGTATAGGTATACACAGAGGTTAGGGTTACCTTGTATAGGTATAAACAGAGGTAAGTGTTACCTTGTATAGGTATAAACAGAGGTAAGAGTTACCTTGTATAGGTATAAACAGAGGTAAGAGTTACCTTGTATAGGTATAAACAGAGGTAAGAGTTACCTTGTATAGGTATAAACAGAGGTAAGAGTTACCTTGTATAGGTATAAACAGAGGTAAGAGTTACCTTGTATAGGTATAAACAGAGGTAAGAGTTACCTTGTATAGGTATAAACAGAGGTAAGAGTTACCTTGTATAGGTATAAACAGAGGTAAGAGTTACCTTGTATAGGTATAAACAGAGGTAAGAGTTACCTTGTATAGGTATAAACAGAGGTAAGAGTTACCTTGTATAGGTATAAACAGAGGTAAGAGTTACCTTGTATAGGTATAAACAGAGGTAAGAGTTACCTTGTATAGGTATAAACAGAGGTAAGAGTTACCTTGTATAGGTATAAACAGAGGTAAGAGTTACCTTGTATAGGTATAAACAGAGGTAAGAGTTACCTTGTATAGGTATACACAGAGGTTAGAGTTACCTTGTATAGGTATAAACAGAGGTAAGAGTTACCTTGTATAGGTATACACAGAGGTAAGAGTTACCTTGTATAGGTATAAACAGAGGTAAGTGTTACCTTGTATAGGTATAAACAGAGGTAAGAGTTACCTTGTATAGGTATAAACAGAGGTAAGAGTTACCTTGTATAGGTATAAACAGAGGTAAGAGTTACCTTGTATAGGTATAAACAGAGGTAAGAGTTACCTTGTATAGGTATAAACAGAGGTAAGAGTTACCTTGTATAGGTATAAACAGAGGTAAGAGTTACCTTGTATAGGTATAAACAGAGGTAAGAGTTACCTTGTATAGGTATAAACAGAGGTAAGAGTTACCTTGTATAGGTATAAACAGAGGTAAGAGTTACCTTGTATAGGTATAAACAGAGGTAAGAGTTACCTTGTATAGGTATAAACAGAGGTAAGAGTTACCTTGTATAGGTATAAACAGAGGTAAGAGTTACCTTGTATAGGTATAAACAGAGGTAAGAGTTACCTTGTATAGGTATACACAGAGGTTAGGGTTACCTTGTATAGGTATAAACAGAGGTAAGTGTTACCTTGTATAGGTATAAACAGAGGTAAGAGTTACCTTGTATAGGTATAAACAGAGGTAAGAGTTACCTTGTATAGGTATAAACAGAGGTAAGAGTTACCTTGTATAGGTATAAACAGAGGTAAGAGTTACCTTGTATAGGTATAAACAGAGGTAAGAGTTACCTTGTATAGGTATAAACAGAGGTAAGAGTTACCTTGTATAGGTATAAACAGAGGTAAGAGTTACCTTGTATAGGTATAAACAGAGGTAAGAGTTACCTTGTATAGGTATAAACAGAGGTAAGAGTTACCTTGTATAGGTATAAACAGAGGTAAGAGTTACCTTGTATAGGTATAAACAGAGGTAAGAGTTACCTTGTATAGGTATAAACAGGGGTAAGAGTTACCTTGTATAGATATACACAGAGGTTAGGGTTACCTTGTATAGGTATAAACAGAGGTAAATGTTACCTTGTTTAGGTATAAACAGAGGTAAGAGTTACCTTGTATAGGTATAAACAGAGGTAAGTGTTACCTTGTATAGGTATAAACAGAGGTAAGAGTTACCTTGTATAGGTATAAACAGAGGTAAGAGTTACCTTGTATAGGTATAAACAGAGGTAAGAGTTACCTTGTATAGGTATAAACAGAGGTAAGAGTTACCTTGTATAGGTATAAACAGAGGTAAGAGTTACCTTGTATAGGTATAAACAGAGGTAAGAGTTACCTTGTATAGGTATAAACAGAGGTAAGAGTTACCTTGTATAGGTATAAACAGAGGTAAGAGTTACCTTGTATAGGTATAAACAGAGGTAAGAGTTACCTTGTATAGGTATAAACAGAGGTAAGAGTTACCTTGTATAGGTATAAACAGAGGTAAGAGTTACCTTGTATAGGTATAAACAGAGGTAAGAGTTACCTTGTATAGGTATACACAGAGGTAAGAGTTACCTTGTATAGGTATAAACAGAGGTAAGAGTTACCTTGTATAGGTATACACAGAGGTAAGGGTTACCCTGTATAGGTATAAACAGAGGTAAGGGTTACCTTGTAAAGGTATACACAGAGGTTAGGGTTACCTTGTATAGGTATAAACAGCGGTAAGTGTTACCTTGTATAGGTATAAACAGGAGTAAGAGTTACCTTGTATTGGTATAAACAGGGGTAAGAGTTACCTTGTATAGATATAAATAGGGGTAAGAGTTACCTTGTATAGATATACACAGAGGTTAGGGTTACCTTGTATAGGTATTAACAGAGGTAATTGTTACCTTGTTTAGGTATAAACAGAGGTAAGAGTTACCTTGTATAGATATAAATAGGGGTAAGAGTTACCTTGTATAGGTGTAAACAGAGGTAAGTGTTACCATGTATAGGTATAAACAGAGGTTAGAGTTACCTTGTATAGGTATAAACAGCGGTAAGAGATACCTTGTATAGGTATACACAAAGGTTAGGGTTACCTTGTTTAGGTATAAACAGAGTTAAGAGTTACCTTGTATAGGTAATAACAGAAGTTAGAGTTACCTTGTATAGGTATTAACAGAGCTAAGTGTTACCATGTATAGGTATAAACAGAGGTACGAGTTACCTTGTATAGGTATAAACAGAGGTAAGAGTTACCTTGTATAGGTATACACAGAGGTTAGAGTTACCTTGTATAGGTATAAACAGAGGTAAGAGTTAACTTGTTTAGATATACACAGAGGTTAGGGTTACCTTGTATAGGTATAAACAAAGGTAAAAGTTACCTTGTATAGGTATAAACAGAGGTAAGAGTTACCTTGTTTAGATATACACAGAGGTTAGGGTTACCTTCTAAATGTATAAACAGGAGTACGAGTTACCTTGTATAGGTATACACAAAGGTTAAGGTTACCTTGTATAGGTATAAACAGACGTAAGTGTTACCTTGTTTAGGTATAAACAGAGGTAAGAGTTACCTTGTATAGGTATACACAGAGGTTAGGGTTACCTTGTAAATGTATAAACAGGAGTACGAGTTACCTTGTATAGGTATAAACAGAGGTAAGAGTTAACTTGTTTAGATATACACAGAGGTTAGGGTTACCTTGTAAATGTATAAACAGGAGTACGAGTTACCTTGTATAGGTATACACAAAGGTTAAGGTTACCTTGTATAGGTATAAACAGAGGTAAGTGTTACCTTGTTTAGGTATAAACAGAGGTAAGAGTTACCTTGTATAGGTATAAACAGAGGTAAGTGTTACCATGTAAAGGTATAAACAGAGATAAGAGTTACCTTGTATAGGTATAAACAGAGGTAAGAGTTACCTTGTATAGGTATTAACAGAGGTTAGTGTTACCTTGTATAGGTATAAACAGGGATAAGAGTTACCTTATATAGATATAAACAGCTAAAATTTACCTTTGATAAGTCTAACAGCGTGTCGTCCATTGTTGAAGTGATGTTATTCTCCGTTACCTGTTCATCGGCGTTGGATGTCATTCCTCAATTACAACTTTACCAATCAACATCCGTAGGGTTGAACCTATAACCTATACAACTCATTACATTTATGTATAATGATATCAGCTTCATTCACCAACATATTTTCAATTGTTTTTTCTCTCTTTTTGACTGAACTGTGTCCAGTTTTAATTGCTCAACATTTCTCTGTCCCCACATAGGGTTATATTTCTCTGTCTAGTGTATCACAGATGACAGGCAGAAAGAAACAATACTGTGACGTTATGGTAACAATAATAAGCTCTTGACGGGATAGGTCAAAGCGAATCACAAATGCTAAAAAATATTATTTTCAAACATGGTTTTGGAATGATTGGAGAAAAATATTAATACTTAATTTAAGGTGGTAACAGAAAAATCTCCAAACCTCGGGGTATTTGTTTGGTTGTTTAACCCAAGGCTCAGCTAACCAACTATATCACCCCTCAATATATGTGTATTTAGATAAGTCATTCAATACTGAGACATCTGTTACTGGTGTTCGGCTTTCTGTGAAATTATCACTTTATCACTTTAAAGATTATAATCCTTATTAAATCAACATAATAGCAATCCTTAAAACAAGAAAAAAAAAGGATTGAAAAAGATATAGACTTAATAATATTCGTCACAACAAAAACTATTTAGAGATGCCAACATGTTTCCTGTTATGTCAGAAACATATCTTAAAATATATACTTGATGTAAAAAATTTCCACTTATGGTAATTCAGTAAATGAAAGAAATACTATGGAACACGATATGCTGGAAATTGAGATCAGCTGTATGCTACTGTCTTTATCCTGTGTTAATGATATTCATAAAACTGCAAATGACACAAATTATTTATATGTTTAAATATCGCTTTAGTTTAGAATGACAAATGTGTATAAATAGTGGTTCTGTAGATTATTTAATCAACACTCATCTTTTAAGTGCTTACCATGATGCACTTATATCAGTACAAAGCTTATATCAAGAAAATATATCCGAGGAAAAAACTTAAACTCTGCAATAAATAAAGATTTTACGTTTTGTACATGGAAACATTTCCTGAAGAATGGACAAGTAAGGTTACGCAATGCCACGTATATCAACACACACTTTGAGGATCTAGCCCAGGACAAGGGTTTCCTCCGTTGCCCAGTATCTTCTACAGAAAGTGTTATGCGTTTGAGAAACATAGAGGAAACAGAGTAGCTAAATTAAATAATCTCACCTTTGTGTTGATTTATTTTATACTGGGGTACATTTAGGACATGCACAATCTTATTTTTACATTAATTATGTCGTGCGCTGGACATAGCTTCTTGAACAATGGACTTATCATTTCGAACGTTCGATTTAGACTTCAGAAAATAATATTTTGCATGTCCTAAAAGTACCAACGCAAATGTCAAATATCACGTGAACAGTCATCAAGATAAATATTGACTGACCGACTTTACTACGTAACTATACATATTAAATATATTAATAAGGCAATATAGTTGACGATAACATGTATTTCTTTTATTATTATGTTTACTACTATTAACACTGTACACGCCTACGTATTGTTTTGCCGCTTCCAAAGACAAAATAATTTGAAATGATCAAATGTAACTTCTTTAGTAAAATACAAAAACGGGTTTGTAAAAGCGTGAAAATAAGATGTGTTAAGAAAACAGAAGGCTTAAATTTAAATGTTTTATAATACTTGATCTATAAATAACGATAGGAACGGAACACATACAACAGGCCAATAATAATAATTAAATTTTAAACTTATTTTATTCTTTCGATAATGCTGTGAATTATCGCAAGTACTCAAACATGAATATTTCGTCCTAGCGACATATACGTAGTAAGATAAAGATTTCGTTATCAAAAACTCAAATAGCTTGTTTTGATAAGATTCTTTTAAAAAGTAGAACGGTAGTTTGAAACAGCAAACAAACTTATCGATGTCGACTTTTGAAAGGAGAGTAATGATAAGGGAAATGTTTGGCGATGTATGAATACATTCTGTATCAAAACAACAGCTAAATGTACATGTATTGCTGCACGTAGGTTGGTAGGTAGATTGTGAATGAGGCCGCTCGAATCAGCATGTAGGAATGTGAATATATTATCAGATATGTTTACAAATTTTACTTCCTCCTTCAATTGTATATAAAAGCAGCACCATAAACAATGTTGTGTTATAGAGCGTCGAAATACCATTAAATCGGACTGTCACCAAACCTGATGAGGAATTGGAAATTTTGAAATTTAAAATAAATAAATGAAATATAAATATACGAAACTAGCTTAAATGATAACTATATAGTCATCTGAAACGATTGCGAACTCAATTTCGTTATCAAGTTTTAGATCAAGTTGTTTGAGTATATATTTATGTTTAGCTGTTGTTAGTGTGATTCTCCAATATAGTTTAGGTAAGCGATATATGATAAAATATCAAATATATTAAAAGAAATTCCTGAAAATCCACATGTTGATCACAATGATACCAGAAATAAAACAGTTGTACAAATGTGTTGTATCTGACAAATAAGTACATGTTATACAGAATATACAAATGTGTTGTACCTGACACATAAGTACATGTTCTACAGTATATACAAATGTGTTGTACCTGACACAAAAGTACATCTTATACAGTATATATTAAATTGATCGTTTGTCTGTTCCAGTGTATTTGCTTAATAGGTAAATGTGTCATGTCTTAACGAAGGGACTGATTGCATGATCATGACCACTGCGGTCGGAGACAGAGTCATTGTCGGAGACAGAGTCATTGTCGGAGACAGAGTCATTGTTGTGTGCTTTGGGAGGATTTCGGTCACGTTGTTGAATAGCTTACCATCTGCTATTAGAAAGTCAAATACCCTGGCAATAGAATGACATCAAAACTAACCTCTTCACGTCTCTATCTAAGGCTCTTTGCACAGACGTCATGTACATACCACCCTTTATTTATTCATTTATGTGCACATTGAGATGATGTAACACTGTATACGGATACTACGTACGTAAATCTGTTTTACCTACGTTTAAATACATTATCTTCCTCTTGCGTAATGTATCTTGTTGTGGATGACTATAATTTAAGTTCATTTAAAAAGATAAAGATAATTCATTAGGCCGCAAATACGATTTTTACATTATTTGAAGTGTGCAAAATATGAATTATCCACTTGCATGATAACATACGTATAAATCAAACAGTAAACAATCACACATTTTCTAGATAATGTATTTAGTTGTTTATCAGTTTTATTCAGCCTACATACTCTTTGATCTTTTTCCTTGTTTGCCACAAAACAAATAACATTTCAAATACCAAATTCACGTCAACAGTGCAACAATACTGCATCGTTCATGGAGTTGACAAGACAATTCATATATCATATAATGTACATCAAATAGTTAAAATGCGTTCAATTATCGATGAATGTTTAACAAAATATAATCATCAACAACTACAGATTTGATGAAACTAGTAAGACTATACACATACCTTTTACTTCGGTCCTGTGTGCAAGTAAACAATGCTACCTCCAGCTATACCGGACAAAAATGATTCCGATCCCGAGCGTATGCTTAACTGATAAAAAACATTTATGTGGTAGGGTATTATACCAACAACAACATTAGTTTGGGGCTGTCGAGGAGTACGGCGCGATATCAGTTTTGGAGTGTAAATGACAAAAGAGCTTTATATATAGTGTAACGTCACGTAATAGCCAAATGCCAAAAGCATATCGGATATCAGTGAATATATACGATGGGTTGGGTGGGTGATGATCATTGTTAATGGCCATCACGAGTATTCAATGTCTATGTTGACGCGTCTTCGACTCAGCATTGACTTTCACCCTTTAAGCATCCTCAATACTCCAGGAGTTACGCACACGTTCGCTCTCTGTCATTGCAATATCTAAGGTTCAGTGTGAACCACCTTGTGGACGAGACGGGAATACTAGTTTCATCCTTTGGTGTACATCCAAAGAATCTGTCGGTCGCGTAACGGTAAAATTGACTGGCTTTAATGTCGGGTGCCGCACCTCTGTAATCTGCAAAGGACACATATCAACCTAGCGGCAGGTCGTTTTTTTCTGAGACGAATGAAATACCTAGCCGCGTGCCTTCAATTTTGCTGACATATCCCAGGGGTGCAGATAGCATTAGCTATATGAGTAACAAACGCTATGAAGAGTAAGCTTTTCGCTATATAGAGCAGTTATAATATATATTGTCTGAAGGTCTCTGAAACATATACTTGTATAGAATTATAAACGTCAGGGAAAATGTTTTTTTAGAAAACCCTTCACAACGTTGAATATTTATAAATTCGAGACAACCAATAATTTTAACCGGCAAATCATGGATAACGTGCCGATCTAAATCCAGGTTACGGCGAACGTCGGAAACTAATAGTTCACTAGCAAATCCGGTGAGAAGTGTCCATGTGATTATCATTTCCATGATTGATGAAACAGTTATATATTAGATTACAATAACAGTGTTTAAATCGTTTAGAAGGGTAACAATTTCAAGTTTCAAGATATTAGAGTGAAGAAGGAGACTGTTTAACTCAACATGCTACATTTGTGGCAGGGTCAATTGTACATAGGATTAAGGTCATCTTCTAGCTTCGAGCTAGAGGGAATCTCCTTTTAGCTCAGTGGTAGAGCGTCCGACTAGGAACCTGGAGATCGAGGGTTCGATCCCCGGTGGAAACACACTATTCTCTTTCCTGTTACAAATGGTGCCGTGACCAGGATCCTGTTAAGTTAAAGGTCAGTGAAACAATCTCCATTCCTGAAAACACGGAATGTTATTTTCCTGGTTACATACATGGCAATATATCGGGTGAGGAGGGAATAATGGAACATGTTGGGGAGTTTAGTAGTGAAGGGTTGTTACCGGCAAGGATGTTGGTACGACCGAGGAAAGGTAACAGATAACCTTGTTAGTCCTTA